TATACGTTCTAAGAGTTTTGGTGTGTAATCTCTTTCACTTTACGTTGTTTACATATTATTAAACTCGGTGATGACTCTCAAACCATAACACAATCAATCATAATAAATCATTCAAGCAATCAAACATACCAATTTAATTCTTGAATAATTAGTGTCCACATAAACTTAATAGTTGAACCCTTTTTAATTTACCTCAGTGTCAAAAACACCTTAAACGCATAATGCGCCGCAAATCCTATCCCTCGGTGTTAGAAACACCTTAAGTGCATAATAAGCACCGCAATAAAATTTATTCCTGTGTACTAAGACACTTATTAGCTCAAATCCCATGCTTAAAGCATCAATAGAAAAAATTATATGAACCATAATAAAATTCCCTTTTCATATTCCAAACCAAATTAAACATTCAATTTAATTAAACATGCTCTCTAACATGCTAATAATAAAAGTATGGTTCATATCCAACATGCCAATATAATTAATTCCAATCACTAATTCACCATAAATAATTCATACATCACAAATCATTCACCAATAACATCAATTCAATCACAAATTCCAATCAACACCTATCATGATACTACTTGGAATTAATTCATCAAAGCCTATCATGCTTCTATAGTACACATTCAAATAAATACCAAGTACGCGAACGTACCTTGAATATGATCTCAAAATCGCCACGACTAAATAAAATCACTCACTTGGAAGTCTCCTACAAACCAAAATTATAAAGAAGTATTAATACCTCTTTCACACAAATTTCCAGCAATATATACTCTCTTTAAATCACTCATAAACCCTCTAAAATAATCTGAAATTTTATTTAAAACCCTTACTTTTATTCCCAATTAATGGGTAATTAAAAATCCTTTCAAGAAACTTAATTATAGCTTATATATTAAAATTTCAGCATTATTAAAACTTATAAAATTGCTGTAATTTAGTTTAAAAACATTAATTTTAATTAACCACAATCAAATTCCATCAATAGACATTCATTTAGAAATCTAGGTTTTTCAACTTGGGGCTTTTTTTTTTAATTTAAAACCAAATCTGAAAATTAATATACAAAATACTTATTATTAAACATCCTAAAATCATCACTAAACCCAAAAACAATAATTAGATTAAAGTTAGATTTAATTAAAAATTAAAAAGAAAGTTTTTTTTTAATTTATAACACACGAACGCAAAAGGGGAGCAAAGGAGGTGGCTGGCGCCACCGCCCACAGCTGCTGCTGCCGTCCCTGTGCTGGCGGCGGCGGCCGACTATGGTGGTGATGGCAGCCAGCCACCGTGTGGTGGTGTGTGGTACGGTGGTGGTGGTGGTGGCAGCCGCCCACCGTGTGGTGGTGGTGATTAAATAAATAAATAGATTAATTAAATAAATAAATTAAAGAGGAAGGGGAAAAATTAAATAAGAGGAGAGAGAGAATTTATCTTTGGGTGCACTCCACCTTAGGCAAATGATGGGTATTTATACCCTCTTTCACAACCTCCTACTTACTACCCTTAATAATCCCTTTCCTACTCAAACTAGGATTTTGACTTTCTGTAAAACTTTGACTTTTAAAAATTATCTTTTATAAAATAATATGCCCCAATATTTCCAAATCATAAATTAAAATATTTTCAGATTATTAAATAATTAAAAATACACTTTTAATAAAAATCATTCTTTTTAAATTAATGAAAAGCCCTAAATAATTCATTTTGAATTATTTAAATACTTTTAAGAAAATACTTATTTAAATTAAAGTATGTATAAAAATAGGGTATTACAACACTAATAAGCTAATAACCTTTCATTTGAGGGAAATAAGCAAGCCTTATGGAAATTGGAAGAAAACAGATTAAAAATCATTGTATAATTTACATTTCAGTTACAAACTCTACATCTTATTTATTTGGATTTTAATTAATTTTGAATTGATGGCACCAAATGAAAAAAGGAATATGAAAGAATTACAATTAATTGGTTGGCCATAATTGCATACTCAATTACACTATATTAAGGGAGAATTAAGGGGTCTTTATAATTGCCTACCTCAACGGAAAATTTCTGACGGTATGCCGTCATGGTGGCGGTAATTAAATTGGTGATTTTTAACCACCAATCAGAAATCAAACCCTCTTCCGAATCTTATTGTAACTACAATTTCGATCATCATATATGTATGATAATAGATTGCTCGTTGCTTCGTCCGCCACCATGTGTGTTTCATCATCCCTTTGAAGCTGAGAACATGCAATCCTATGATCCACAATTTTTTTCTTTTAATTTTTGGTAAGAAAAGAATGAATGAATATTTGGACAGGTGTAATAAACTCTAAAGTACAATGACTGCATGGCCCACATTGCTTTAATTTATTGGTCTTTTTATTATTTTATTTGGAGATATGAGTGTATTCATCTAAATATATGACATGAAATGAGTATTGGCTAAGATAGTTAGGAGTTTTGGCTTCATTCCTAAAGATACAGTGTTCAAAATCCGACAATTTTTTTATTAATAATTGTGGAATAATTTGTTAAGTGGTGATGACACATTGATAAGTGGTGATGTGGCCCTACGCTAGTTGAGTAAAGATGGTGTGGCATATAGAGAGGGGGGATGACGTGGCACATAGACATTTGTAGGAACGCTTTTTAATATATAAGTATAGATTACTTTGACCTATATATTTGTTGAGATAAAACTGTGATCATTACTATCTTTAATTGTATATTAGTTAAAAAAAATTAAATTATGAAAATAAACATTGGAACTAATCCAATGATATTTTACACAATAACAATTATTCATTTTATAAAACGGAGTAGTAAACAATTTAAGTCAAAGTGATGCAAATATTAAAAAACAGAGGTAGTATGAAAATAAAGGTTAGAAATTGCTTAAATGAAATTAGTTCTTCATTTTTCTTCCCAAAAAAATAAATAAATAAAAGAATAAAAATAAATAAAAATAATTAGATCTTCATTTGGGGAGGTCTTGACATTGTGCAATTTATTTTATTTGTAATTTGTAATGTCCTTATGGCTTATTTGCAAAAAAAAATAATAATAATAAAATAAAATTCTCCATTTGTGCCATTTTAAACTTTTCCAAAAATGTTGTTCACGTAGGATCATATACTAGTTTTATTTGTTTAAAATGTTTTTAAAGCAGTAAAAACGCTTTTAACGATGGCGGTATAAATAATAAAACCACTAATGATGATAGTGGTTAAATGATACTTTTTCCGTTTTTTTTATTGCACCATGAAGGGTTTCACGCTTACCAATGCATTAGTTTGGCTACTAATATTTTTAATTACACTTTTGTAAGAAAATACGGAGTATAAAAAGTTGATATTTGAAAAATACATTTGGAAACGAATCTAACTAGATTCCACATGACTATATTTTTCATTACGGATAAATCACAATATATGGTCAAAGAAGATTATGTGAATAGTGTAAAAGTCCTTATGGTGCAATAAAAGAAAAACGGAGAAAGTATATAAAACCGCAATCATCATTAGTGTTTTTTTTTTAATTTTTTTTTTAACATCTAACAATGATAACAATGTAATATATGATGAAAAACCCATCATTTGATGTTCTTGTGTAATACCCCGTAATTTTATGTTATTTATATTACTCCCTCTGCTCACAAATATCTGCACCATTTGTCATAAATGGTTGCTCTCTATTATGTGCAACAAATTATTTTCTTTCCTCTTTTAGTAAATTTTAAAGAGTAAAAAGACCACCTTACCCTTACTTTTATTTTTTAACTTTGTTTAACGTCTTTTAATTACACTCAATTTTCCACTTTTTTCCCACTCATAAAAGGGGACCCTCAATTTTCCACCTTTTTCCCACTCACTTTAACCCACCCAAAAACAAAAAAAATAAGGGACCACTTCTTCCCTCCTTTTTCCCACTTAATTAAACCCATTCAAACTTAATTAAACTCCACTAAAAATTTTGCCTAGGAGTCCGCAAAAAGGATGTTTGGTGCAGATAATCGTGGGCGGAGGGAGTATTATTATTTTCTTAAAGGAGGAATTTTGGATTTAAAATATTATTTTTTTTAGTATGTCAAACACTTTTGATAGGGATGAAATGATTTTAGTTTTCTTAAACTGATTTTATTGATATTATTCCTTTTATGATTTTACTAATTCTTTCAAAAAAAAAAATTGAAAATTGAATGAATGGAGATGAGAAACTGAATGTTCACCAGTTCATGTTTACCATGAGTTAATCAAAACTCTTCATCTTTCCCATTAATGAAATTTTAATTCTTCTTTCAATTGTTCATTCATATATTCACCCACACTATGCCAACTATTTCTTGGCACTTCATATATTTGATAATGTCATCATATCCAAGATTATCTATAATCTTCTTTATATGCACTACATTGAAATAAGATATGTGAAGGAAAAGGCAAATAATTCCGACAGAGAGAAGAAGAAATGAAAGATGGGAATTGTTGTTTAACAGGCATACAAAACTTAGTACTTATGTGGTTCACACACCCTAGACAACAATATTCTTCTTCTTTGAAAAGATTCCGATGTTGAGTAGGCATTCTTGATTAACATTGTAATGTTGGCTACTTATTTTTCGCCAAGGAATTAAGGGTGTGTTTTATTCACCTGATTTTCACTTATTTGAACTTATATGAACTTAACTTAATTTATCTGAACTTATTTTAATCAGCCCGTCTTGTGTGCGACTGGCCATGTCTATTAATTTGCATTAGCTTATTGCTAAATATCTTTAATTCTGCAATAAAATTACAAAAAATTTCTATTTGAATAACACTCGTTACGAAACTAACATCTCATATACAAATAAGGTCATAATTTAATCAAATCAAAATTATTAAGATCAAATTTAATAAATTAATAGTGAATTGAACATAGCCTAAATTCAATTACTCCATATTGTGATTTGGTTATTCAATGTTATAACAATTCACCAGTTATGGAGATCATCATCATAACACCACCAAATATTATAATTCCATATGAAGTGATTGCTTCCTAATCAAGTGAAGATTCACATCTTACATTCAATCATTCACCCATTTTTAAACTCATCTTACATTCAGTCATTCACCCATTTTTAAACTCAAAAATTTCACAACTTTTTCAATTATCAAAACCATCAATTCTTTTCCATTTTTTTTTTAATTTTTTCACACATTTCCCACCTTCACCATTAAACATAACACCAAAAAATAAATTCATTTCCTCTTCAAATCTCAAAAAAAATACTCAAAACTCTAAAATTCTCTCTTCTCCATCAACAATGGCGGGTGGACTTCACTCCTCTCTAAGACCACCATCTTCATCTTCTTCGTCAAACAATTCATTCACTTATAGAATCCTCCTCCTTCTTACTCTTCTCCCTTTTACGCTTGCTGCCTTCGCCTTTGTTCTTCAATGGCGTGGAGGTGTTACAGACCCTTCTACACGTTACTCTGCCGAAGAACACAGGTTTCCTGGAATGGATAGTTCTCCTCCTACTACAACTACAACTTCCAAGGTTATGCGCTCTGATTGTGGGCCCCTTTTAAGCCATTTATCGCCTTCTTTTCCTTATTATCGTGATTGGAAGTTTCATTATCAAACCGATCTTAAGCCTAAGGTAATTTGTTTTTGTATTCTGGTTGATTTGGGTTTTTGAGTTTTTTTTGGTTGATCTGATTCTGGGTTTTGTTTGTTTGGATTTGAATCGGAATGGGTATTGCTTGATTTGGTTGATTGTTGGTGGGATTTTTGTTTTGACCTGCTATTGAATTACTGATTCAGTTTGGATGTTGATTTGATTTGATTGCATGATTTTTTATTGTTTATGTGAATTATTTGTAATTTTTTAATTGGATGCTGATTTGATTGTAAATGGATCAGTTTTTAAAATTTGAATTGTGGGGTGCAATTGATTAATTGAGTTTAATTGGCATTTTGCTGATTCAATGTCATTTCTTGTATCTTTGCATTTCAATTGCTGATAATAGCTGAGAAGATTTTAATTGATATGTTTTGAACTTTTTAATTAGTGTATTAGTTAAGATCTAACATCCTGAATCGATTCGAAATCAAATTGAGAACTGTGCTGAGAAGATAGCATGCAGGGAGCTAAATACTCCGTATCGATTTTATGCGTCTTTGTCTGAACTAAAGACCTAATTTTGTTGTGATTAGATTACAATCACGACGAGTACCTCAGCAAGTTTGGAACAGATTCTTCCATGGATGTTCTACCACAAGGTTATCGGGGTCACTACATTTTACCTTTTTGTGGAAGGGAAGGCTGCAACACCTAAAGTTACAAGGGTTTTGGAATCTATTCCTGTGAGTTTAACTGCGGTCCTTCGAGTTTCTCCTTTGCCACATTTAGGTTACTTTAGTTGCAGTAGTTTTTTTTCTGGTAAGACCATCTGAATTGCTGACATCTGTTCTATTTGCAGGGTGTTAAAGTTATCTATAGAACAAAAGAGTTAGAGGATCAACAGGCTAGAAGGTGTGTTAATCCTGCATTTTGATAATTTAAAATTTTAAGCTGGCAGTGTCCAACAAGTATTTTTAATTGCAGCATTGATTAGTGAAAGTATTTGTTCAATTTTGAGCTCTCTTTGTGATTTCCTATATCTTTTTTTGACTCTCCGCCGCACACTTCCCAAAAATTAGGGTGTTTGGGGGCAGGGTAATTAACCTGTTAAAAGCTAGTTATATCCTTGGAATTTTTTTTTTTTTTTTTTTTTTTTTTTGACCTTCCGCTTATTGGGTTGAGGGTTGTTCGGTTCCATGGTTGATTCTTCTTATTGAGATATAAGCTGTATAATTGCTTAGCACCGTGTCTTGTGGCTACCCATGTTGCTTCTACGTCATCTTTAGCTGCTCTGATCTTGTTTTGCTGCTGTCTGTGTGTACCAGTTGCTTACACATCATTTTTAAAAATTTAGATCCCTTGGATGGACTGATATGATGCTTTGTTGTTTTTTTATTTGAAAAATTGTATGTTCAATCGATTGACTGCTGTTCCTTTTTTTTCTTTAGCCGAATTTGGAATGAAACGTGGCTGGCAAGTTTCTTTTACAAGCCGTGCAATTATGAGTTATTTGTGAAGCAGTCACTTAACATGGAGATGGCAATTGTTATGGCTAGGGTAAGAAAATACCAGTTATTTTTTGAGCACTTGACAGATTTTATTACACTTTTTTTGGCTGATTTTTCAATGGATCTTGCTATCTTTAGGATGATGGTGCAGAATGGATTCTTCATCTTGATACTGATGAGCTAATACACCCGGCTGGTACTCGGGAGTATTCATTGCGGCAACTTCTGCTTGATGTTCCTGTGAATGTGGATATGGTTGTTTTTCCCAACTATGTAAGTAAAAAGGCACTAACATAATTACCGCTTTATGTTGTTATCTGTTCTAGTATAGTTAATTTTCTTATACACATAGTTATGGTGCTAATTTAATATCATTTCTTGTTCAGGAAAGCAGTGTGGAACGTGATGATATCCAAGATCCTTTTAGTGAGGTAGGCTCTTTGAATGGAGATCTTTGATAAAATTTTCCTCAAAAGTGACTTGTGTTTTATTTGCCGATTAGTATAATATTGAAAATCTTTCTAGCTTAAGACACTTTATAGTACATTTGCAACGGACTTTTCCAGTCAATATAATTATAAGCTGTATACCTTAGAGGTTATTTGTCTTGATTCTTGTATCAATCAAATCATTCAGATTTCAACATATATCACAGCCATTTATTACTGGCAAATTAGCAACTGAAAGGTTAAAACCAATTTTAAAGAACAGATGGGAGTGTTAAAATCTTTGTTAGTTATTGTTAGGCTATTTAATACTAAAATGCTGATCTGTCAATGTATTACCACAGTTTGTGCAAATAGGATACATAAACAATGGTTATTACTATTATTATTAGTTTTTATTTATTTTTTTTTTTTTTTTTTGCACATATTGCATAATTCTACGGTACCTACTTCATTAGTGTCAAATAATTAGGGACATAGTAGTTTGCCTATCATTTTCTTCTCATACCCTACAGCTCATCCACTGATGTGTGTTGCTTTCATGCAATAGGTATCTATGTTTAAAAAAAATTATGATCATCTCCCGAAGGATACTTACTTTGGCATGTACAAGGAAGCTACTCGTGGAAATCCCAATTACTTCTTGACCTATGGTAATGGGAAATCGATTGCTCGAGTACAGGATCATCTGCGTCCTAATGGTGCCCACCGGTGGCACAACTATATGAAGACTCCTAAGTATGACAACTTTTTCTGTCTTGTAAGCACATTAGTTTTAAAGTAATATGTAATAAGTTTTTATTTTATGTATCTTCCCTTTGGAGTTTATAGGTACTATTTAGTAGCCATGGGGGTCATCATAAAGGATAAAAAAGAAGTTTGTTAAAAGACAGTGAAAGAGTGTTACCAATTTATATAGTGTTAGTTAAGGATCAGCGTCTCCGCTTTAGATCAACCTTGAACCTGTAAAGATCCTTTCCAGTTTAGAAAGATACCATAACCACTTATTAGTTATTACTGAATAAGGCACAAAGAAAGTGTTCTTTGAGCATAAAGGTTGAGGTGTAAATCATGTAATGTCATTAAGGATTAAAAGGTTTGGTGGAACGATATGAGTGGAGACTGGAGAGGGGATACAATTCCTATGAAGTTTCCAGAGTGTTATAAGGCATAGATGGGGTAGGAAGGGCTTGCTTAAGCTATTCGAAGGGATCAAACCAAGGCATTTGATGATTGCCCTCAATGTTCTTGGACATCATGGCTTAGGATGAGCAATGTCATCAATGGCTTAATGGAAGGACAGGGGCCACATGAATTCCGGAAGGAAAATGGATGGAGGGGGGGGGGGAAGGGTTAGATGTTCAGATAGTCAATATTTTCTATAGCAAGAGGCCAGGATTCAGTGTTGCCCATTTCTAATTTTTCCAGCTCCCTTGTCATTATTTATGCAATATTTATCTATGGAGTATATCATTTCCTTTACGATTTTAGTGATTTATGTCATTTGCCACTTTTATTTGTAGTGAAATCAAATTCGAAGAAGCCGCTGTTCTGCACTATACATATTCAAAGTTTTCAGACTTGACTTCTAGACGTGATCGATGTGGATGCAAGCCAACAAAAGAGGATGTTAAGAGATGCTTTATGCTGGAATTTGATAGAGCAGTAAGTTTTAGTTTTACCACATTTTTTTATATCCATTCTTTTCTCTTCTTTTCTCTGTGATGTGAAGTGTTTTGGTTAATGAGGGTATCTTCTGTTCTTTTGTATGCCACATGATTAAGCTTTTATTGTTATGACTGAAAAAAGTAGTTTTAGAATACAATTCATCTTGGCTTCGTCTACTGCTCAACCTGGGCTTGTACTCTTGTAGTTATGAGTTAGTCCTTAATAGTCAGAGTCCGAACTTGAAGTCCCATGGTATGTATCTAAACCATATCAGTATCAGATAGGGAATTCGTTGCTAGAGTTTGATTCCCTTTAAACAATCTATGCTATTTAGTGGGCTTGATGTTTATATAGGGTTGGTTTTCCTAAGATGCATGAGGCATGACAGTCTTGTCTGTGGTTGGATTATGAGTTTGTTGTCGTCCTTGTCGATGGAAGCAAACTTTATGACTGTCTAGTCAAATCAAGTATGCACTAAATAATCTTCTTAAGTGTCAGTACCTAATTTCCCTTTAAGCCGATTAAGACATTTAACATGTAGGAAAATCTGAAATGAGAGAGGCTTTGGGTGCATACCGTCATTAATGTTTAATGATTAAGAGCAAGAATCCTCCTCTTTGTTCAGAAAACACTACAGATGCTGTATCTTAGATGACATGCATGGGTAAAGGCTCCATATGATTTTGTAACTAAACATGTGCCCAAATTTGTAGAATTTATCATTAGTAAATCATACATACTTCCTTTGTAAGGGGATAATTATTTGCTTCATGGATTGTTTGTTGATTCATATCACTAAAATCATAATTAAATTTTTGCAAACAGAATATGTTGGGCAAGTCGTACTGATATCGGTAAAAAGGTTGAAATTCTGATACCCAATTCAACTCTTAATTTTTGGTTTAGAAAAGTCATTCCAAATTGACTGGCCTATCAAATGGGCTACCTATACTTGACCCAATTAAACCCATCTGTTTTATTCTCATATGGCTGTTGGATCAGGTATATTATTGGACTGAAATTTAATAAACATGTTGAATATATAAAGCATGTGCGTTTTGAGTTACTATTGTGCTCTTATTTTAGAATTTCTTACTGTTTTTGGGTAATTTCCACATTCTCCCATGCTATTAAACAGGCCATTTTTTGATTGAAATGGCAATCCTTAAACTTATTTTACAAAAGGGTATTCATGCCAACCTGATTAATTGTACTGGTGTAAATTTCAATCCAAACCAGCTACTTTGTGCTCAGTTTCGATCAGGAATGTTGTATTGGGGTAGGTTTTGGCCAGCTATAGTTACATTCTAGAACTGGACAGTCATTTCCATCCTCCACTACTAAAGGACTCGACCTTGGAAAAGGTCTCAAAGGAACCAGATTGCCAGAATGGTAGGGGCCAAGAGCTTGCAGACTGGCCTGCCAAGAAGCAACACTACTACATCAAAAGCAATCCTTTAAGCTCTTCAGAACATTTACTAGAAACTTTGAACAAAATTTTTATAATGTACAGCATCTGTAGATTTCACACCCCTCCTGAAAAATTATATGAAGTAATTCCTATTAGCCAAAGATTATAAATGGTAATTTTTAGCTTTGACTGTACCCTAGTCTTCGGGTCTTCCTACTCATTTTCACTGCTCTCTCTGGATCTGCATTGAACCAAGCACAAACTCTGTTATGCCCCAAGATCAACATAATACTTCCCTACCATCAGAAATGAATATTTGATAAAGGCGGTGCTGCACATTGTCAGGCTGTTCAGAATGCAGGTAGCAGAACATTCAATGCTCCACTTGGCCAAACTATGTCACTATCTGCTGTGTACAGCCTATCTTGAAATAGCTAGCCAAGTTATAAGCATAAGATACTATTTGGACTAGCCTTGCTTTGCACATAACACTTCTCCATGCCACTTTCTCAAAAAGCTGCTTATACATTTTACCAACAGAAAAGGTATTGTTTTTCATAAAAATGATCAACAGAAAAGGTATTGTTTTTCATAAAAATGATCCAGCCCACAACTTGCTGAACATAAAGCCTGCAACTAAAAATCATTTAAGCTCAGGATTCAGGAACCATTAACAGGGATAGTACAAGTATTAATGTCTGCCCTTTCATATAATAGCTGTCTATCCACCAGTTTTGTATTTGATTAAATTCGGATTCAACATCTGATTGCTATTATCTGATTGTGCTTTTGGCTTGTGTTGTCATGGAAGCCAATATATTGTTTGTTTGGTTGAATATAGAAAGTACTATTTCATAGGAAGTTATTTTCATATAGTCTAGTTTTCTAGGAAGTTCATGAACTTGTTTGGTTTACTATAGGAAGTTCCACTTCCTAATTGGAACTTCTTAAGAACTAGGTAGTGCTTCTTCCTTTGGTTTTGCTCTGTTCCATTTTCTAAATGCTTCCACTTCCCATGTATCTTGTTGTCAACCAAACAAGTGCTGAAGATATGAACGATATTGTTGATTCTTCTATTTAACCTTCTTACATGTTACCTATGGCAGGCATTCATAATTGCTTCAACTGCAACTGAGGAAGAAATGAGGAAGTGGTAAGTTTTTGAGCCTAAGAGGTCTTCTTGTCTGTTTATTGGTTGGTATGGAAAAATGTTACTTTAATGGATATGATTCATTATTACTGTGTTTGTTGTGGCATCTCTGATTTTAGGTATCAAGAGCATGTTGTATGGGGAGACAAAGCACTTAACCTGAAACTTTTGAGGAAGGGCATTTTAACTCGCATATATGCTCCCATGGTGAGTGTTGTTATTCCCTTCCAAACATAATCAATCCTTACGAGGCTTATAACAAAGACATGGATGTGTGATACTGCTGGGCTAAAACATGGTCTATTCAGTACTCAGTAGGAGAGATAACTCTATTTTGTTGTGTTGTGCTACTGTTTCTCATTTTTATTTGTTTCCTGTATCTCTCATTCTTGTGTGCTTTCGTCTACAGGTGATTGTTCAGGGTTTAAGAGAATCTGGTGTTTTCACTTCTATTATTGAATCTGCTTCAACATCTCTTTCAAAGGATAATTTCTTATCTTCAATCGTGAGTTCTAATTCAACAAGACCTAATGATTTGGTCGCTTCCTCAAGGAAGAAGAATAAAGCCAGAGAGTCTCAGGCAACTGTGAGGAAGGTTCTGCAGTTTACAGATGCGGCTACTCATGAAGCTGCTGTTCCACCATTGCCATCACCAGGTGTTAACGATGATGATGTGCAGGAATCATGATTGATTTGACATATTCATTTTACAGCTTCCTATTCTTCTGCCCATTATGTTACCACATGATTGAATGATAATTAGAATGTTTGGTATAGAGAATGGGGTGAAGTAGGAGGGAAGAGGTTTTACCTTTATGGTTTCTTCCCGATCATTGCCCAAGCGCTTTGTACACATAGAGAGAGAGAAAAAAAGAGAGAGGGAGAGGGTGGTAGCAGAACATTTTTTGGCCCGTTCATTTCTAGTACCAGCCCTGTGCCTGAGTCTAGAAATCGGGGTCGCGTATTATGTACAGAAACTGGTGGTCGATATGATGAGAGGCGATTGTTTCACTACTTAGATATACGTAGACGTAGTGTAGGCACCTTGTGATACTCTAATTCTTTGAATGGATCTTTTTTATTTCATTTCTACTGATTTCTTTTTGTTTTTGTCTAAGTTTTTGGTCCGATTAATTCAATCATTGAGATTATTGCAGGACAAGGCTTTTTGGCTTGTTCTAAATTGTCACATGCTTACACTACATAATCAATACTCCTTATTTTGGGAATCTGATTCCATTAAACGTCAGTTACAATATTTAAAAATGTGAATGCTACTCTTAATTATGAACCTAAAATTATGATGAAAATTTATTGGTTATAGAATATAGATTAATAGCTAGTGCTATATTCAAATTAGTATAACAAGATATAGGTGGTGGAATTATAGCTTGTGCAACATGAAAAAAATAATTAAAAGTTGAGGCCTAAAGCAAATTAGTCGACCAACAAAGCCAGATCTTGGGGAACAAGGCCATGTTCCACGATAGTTTGGAATATTTAGTGTTCATGGATTGGATTCATAGTGCTTTGTTATTTTAATTTATATTATTATATTAATGATAAGAGTAACATTTTAGGTTATGTGTTGCTCGAGAGGGATAACTACTTTCGCTTCCTTTTGATGTTTCTGTTTAGACTATGAATGTTTGCCAATGCACTTCAGCCCCGATTTCTATATCTTAAGGATTGAGATTGAAATTTTATAAAACATTTTTTTTCTTAATTATATTTTAACTTTAGAAAAGTTCAAATCAAGCTATAAAATTCAAATTTATTTTATCAAAGGCTAACTAGTTTACAAGTAGTTCCTCCCCCCCCCCCCCAAAAAAAAAAAAAATATTGAGATTATACGTGAGTAAGAATGGCAACGGATCGAATTCGGGTCGGATGGAGCTTTATCCGCTTACTTCATCCGCTCCATCTGATCCACCTGCCACCCGCTTAATCCATCACCTGCATCCGATCCATCTATCATCCTCGGATAAAACGGATCGGGTGCTTAACGGGTGATAATTATAATTAAATTCCCATTAAAATAGATTATATTTCGTATGTCCGAAGACAATCTAATAAAGTTCCCATTAAGAATAAGTTGCAATATACAAGGAGAATGTATTCTTTGATGAAGTCATGAATTTAGAGTTTGAACTAATACAAGCTATACTGTAGTATAATTCGTATATGATAAGATAAAACTCTTAATTTTATAATCTTTTGAGTGATTCCATTTACTGACTACTCCTATAAAAACATTCATGAATTTGTTGTGGTCCGCCTTGCATTAATACTACTTATTGATCAAAATTTTCTAATTTCTATTTTTTATTATGATTATATTTATATATATCGGGTGATAAATGGATGATGGATTGGGTGACAGATGACTTGGAGCTCCACTCAAATTCGACCCAATTCGTCACCCGCTTCATCCATCATCCGCCTTTCATCCATTTAAAACGGATTTTCATCCATGTATTTATATCGGGTGGATCGGATAACTGGATATCCATTTAAAATTGCCATCTCTACACATGAGTATGTTCATGAAGTAAAGCTTGACTAAGTGTACCAATATTAGGGTAAACATTAATCAATGAGGTCTTAGCCTATAGCTCACAAGTTCAATTTCCCATGGAATGCCGATAATAGGGGAGGAAAAGTTAATGAATAAAAATTATGACATTTTTTAAGTGTCTGGATTGAAGGTAATGTTGTATAGGGGTAATACTTTCCCCTCAAAATAGGGGTAATTGTTACTCTAACCCCCCCGGGTAACTTTTTTCCCTTGAACAAATTATCTTGCTTCCTTCTCTTTCGGCTCGTCATTCATCTCACATGGTCACTCCTACCTTCCACCACTGACACTGTCACCACCCCCATCACCATCACCACCTCTGTCACCGTCACCGTCACCCACTACTAGAAAAAGGCCATTTTCCGACGGACCTCAAATTCCATCGGAAAATTCGAAATTTCCGATGAATTTTAATCCGTCGGAATATTCCAACGGAATTTAGCCGTACCTACGAAATATCCCCCGCAATAATTCCGACGGAATTAAATTATGTCGGAAATTAGAGCTTCCGACGGGATATTCCGTCGAAAACTGTACTCCGACGGAATATTCCGTCGGAAGGTCTGATTTCGGAAAGAATTTAATTCCGTCGGAAAGAATTTATTTAAAAAAAAACGAGTTCAGATCTCCTCTTTTGTTGAACTAGAAAGAATAGGGGGAAGAGAGAGAACGACGGAAAGAAAGGAAAAGAGATAGAGAAAGAGAAAGGGAAGTTTGAGGACGTCGTTTCCCCGCAACCCGCGGCGTCTCACCGCCGCTGCTGTGTGAAAGGGAAAGAACGAGAAAGAATAGGGGAAAGAGAGAGAGCGACAGAAGAACGAGAAAGAGAAAGGGAAAGAGAAAAGGGGGCGCTGTTTCCCCACAACCACCGGCGTCTCACCGCCGCCGCCTTGTGACCTTTGGGCCGCCGCTTGGTAAGTTTAATATTAGATGTATTTGGGTTTTTTTTTCGTTAAACCCTAACCACCGTCACCATTGTGCAGCCGTCGTCCTCCATCTGTATCCTCTCGTCGCTGCGACTAGACCCGCCACCACCTCCATCCTCCCGCCGTTGTGTAGCCGGTAAGACTCACCCTTTATTTATTTATTTTTTTAAATAATTAAGTCTGACCAAAGCCGCCACCACCTCCATCATGTAGTGAAAACTAACGCCTCCTCTACAGCGTTTTCCTTGCAGCCACCACCGAATCCTCCTCTACCCTTGGTGAGTTCTTTCTCCCATGTTTTCTAATTCAATTTAAGTTGTTCACTTAATTGCAAACCCTAATTAAGTTTCTAATTGTAATTATTTGTAGGATTTGTAGATTTACTTGGTTTAATTGTCAATAAAAAGTCAGATCTAGACATTATAAACCCTAAAATTCTTAGTTTAGTTTATACATGGCATGTTAGTGACTAATTGTATATAGATATATGTAAGTTTATTGTTGTTTTTAGTGTAGTGTATACATGTTTGTTGTATTTTATGTTTAAATATGTTGAAATATTTGAAATGAATGTGCTGTATTATGATATGTTAGTTTAGTTTGGTTTAGTTTAATATAATAATGTATGTTAGTTTAGTTTAGTTTAATATAATGTATGTTAGTTTATTTAGTTTAATATATTTGTTTTATATAATGTTTAATATAATATTTAATAATTGTTTAATATATTTATTTAGTTTAGTTTAATTATGATATATTTGTTTAGGTAGTATAATTCATGTGTCCTTTACTTTATATATTTTGTAAATGAATCATTTGCATAATCATATGCCTATATACCCATTCAAGGCATACACATTAGGAGTATGTCTTGAATAGTCCCCGGTTGGATTGTCCTTGTACGCTTATTCTCACTTAGGTGGTGAATGTATGCCTTATCTTGGCTTCTCATTTCTCTACAATGTTCTCTGGGTACATAGGTATATCTAATCGCCTACATCGTGTACTTGGAGAACTGTAGGGAAATGCTGCCGGATTTTCCATAGAATTGAAAACCTGGCTTACATTTACTAGTGGGATTAAACGTACAAGGATGGGTTAGGTTGGAGTGATAAGGACCCTTGGACATCATTTCAAATCTCATTTGCATTTCCATAACACTTTGATGGATAATGAATATTAAATATGCTTTGTGACTAATGTGATTATACATATGCGTGAGTTGTGTAGAAGTTGTAATCATGAAACGAACAGAACGTAGCTGGATGTATGAAAGGAAGATTCGGCTTTCTATTAATCCAGAGTTCATGAAAGGGGTTGATGAATTCATTCAGTACGTCAAATATCATCCCGAGAGTAGTAACCCGAATGAAGTTAGGTGTCCATGTTTTAAATGTAAGAACAAACGGCTTTGGGATGCAGAAACGGTTAAAATTCATTTGTATCACAAGGTTTTTGTACCTAATTACTATGAGTGGATGTGTCATGGGGAAGGGTTTCCAGGAGTTCCTGAACGGCGATCTAATGAATATCGTGAAATGGTTTTCGATGCTTTTGGTCATACTTAAGATCAAGGGCATTCCGAACAGTCAAGAGCCTAATGCACAAGCCAAGCATTTTCTGGCCGGATTTGTTGAAGGCTTCTGAACAACCATTATACGAAAGGAGTTCATTTTCTATGTTAGAGATGACTACTAGAATTACTAGTCTAAAGTGCGAATATAATTTGCCCCACAGATGTGTTGATGGGCTTGCTTCTTTGGTAAATGAAGCGATTCCTAACAACAACCATATGGCAGACACACTCTATGAGGTGAAGAAGATTATGAAGGGGTTGGAGCTGCCTCATGAAAAGATTCATGCATGCCCGAAAGGATGTATGTTGTTTTGGAAGGATGATGCTCGACTATCTACATGTAGGGTGTGTGGAAGCAACCGATACAAGAAGACTTTTAAAGGTAGCTTAGTGCCTTTGAATGTTTTATTTTATTTCCCGATCACACCCAAGTTGCAAAGGCTCTTTGCAACCAAGAACATTTCGGAGGAAATGAGATGGCATTCAGAAAAACCCTCGAGTACAAGGCACAATGGCATACCCTAGTGATAGTGAAGCTTGGAAACACCTCGATAGTTTCTTTCTAGAGTTTGCCTCCAAGCCTCGTAATGTTCGACTTGGCTTGTGTACAAATGGTTTTGCTCCTCATGGTAAATTTGGGGGACAATATTCTTGTTGGCCTGTCATTTTTGACCCTTTATAACTTGCCTCCATCAATGTGTATGAAAAGACAATTAATGTTCCTTTCGTTGCTCGTTCCTGGTCCTAAAAACCCTAAGGGCAACTTGGATGTGTACATGCAACTGTTGATAGAAGAGTTGAAAAATTATAGGAAGTTGGCGCAAATACTTACGATATTTCGAGGAAACAGAATTTCAATCTTCGAGAAGCCATCCTATAGACTGTTAGTGACTTCCCGGCTTATGGTATGTTGTCTGGTTGGATCACATCTGGCAAGAAGTCTTGTCCATATTGCATGGAGAAAAGCAACGCATTTCGGCTCGAATATGGTGGTAAAGTTTCTTGGTTTGATTGCCACCGCCAATTCCTTTCGACAGATCACCCTTTTTGAAATAGTAAAACTGCATTTTGTAAAAACAAAGTCGAAAAAGGTGCACCTCCACACATCATGTCAGGAGAGGAACTGTGGGAATGTGTGAAAGACCTTCCGAAGGCTACAGATGGGCCCAAGGCACTTAAACGCCTCAAAAAAGCTAAAAAGGGGTGGTTCAAGCAAAGCACACTGCGGGAGCTTCCATATTGGAAGCATCTGCTCATTCGTCACAACTTAGATGTCATGCACATTGAAAAGAACTTCTTTGATCAGTTAATTCACACTATAATGGATATGAAAAGGCATACATGTGACACGCCATCAGCTCGAAATGACATTGTCAAATATTGTAAACGACCGTAGCTTCATTCAGGAGGATGATGGAGGAAAATAGTTCATGGGCTCCATTTGCTCTTGACAAGGCTCGGAGAAGTTTTGTGTGAGTGGGTTAAACAGTTGCGGTTTCCTGATGGTTACGCCTCCAACTTGAGCAGATGCGTAGATTTCCAAGCATGTAAGCTACATGGAATGAAAAGCCATGACTGTTACGTGTTCATGGAGAGGTTGTTGCCCACTGCTTTGAGGGAATTGCTCCCTGGCCATATTTGGAATGCAATTACAGATATCAGCCAATTCTTCTGCGAGTTGTATTGCTACACAATCACAGTTAGTGACATGGAGCGATTGGAGAAAAACATAACTGAGATCCTTTGCAAGCTTGAGAAGGTCTTCCCTCCTGCATTCTTTAACTCCATGGAGCATTTACCTATTCATTTTCCATATGAGGGCAAGTTATGTGGTCCAATTCAATATAGATGGATGTATCCCTTCGAAAGATAAATCAAAGACCCTTTCACATCCTCTTTCTTACATCCCATTCATTGTCATGAGTTGTTTATACATTTATATAACTATAGTTGCAGGTTCCTCAATCACTTGAAACGAAAAATTGGGAACAAGGCTCGAGTTGAAGGTTCCATATGCAATGCTTATCTCACCGAAGAGATAGCAAACTTCTTCTCTAATTACTTTCAGGCGTCAGTTGACACAAAAACACGAGATCTCGGTCAAAATATGAATGCCGACGTGGACTCCACAGTGGACAACGCTGAAATACCAGAGTTGTTCACGGTGGATAGCGGTCGTGTGTCAAATGAGGGTAAAACTCGGTTTTAAGATGAAAAAGAACTCGAGTGTGCTCATTTGTTCGTGTTACGAAACAGCGGAATTCTTGGTGAATACAAAAGGTATAATATGTTTAGGAATGAATTGTATTCAAAGTTATGAACAATTAAAATGATTACAATGTTGATTTACCGCGTGCCTTTGACCTCGTAGGAAGTTTGAGGACTACATTCTTAGGACTACATTTTTTTGTGATTTCAAGCCCTATACACCTAAAAGTACCTATTATTGACATGTTATGAGAAAGAAAGAGTTCATTTGGTAAGAAAATGGGAAAAGTAGAAGTCATTTAGGCCTTACTTGGTTCAATTTTGTTGAAAATGCTTCCTTAAACTTAGTAAGTTGCTCCTTTTCATATTTATATCTTGTAGGAGGCCTACCAAAAGAAGGTTGAAGAAGCAAGCACTCAAGGGATTCAGAAGAGTCCGAATGAGTTGTACTGGGAAACTATGGGTGGTCGTAACAAGAAGGGTCGTGTGAAGGGACTTGGCCAAAGTGCAGAGCTGTACTATAGCAACAAGATGGGTCGAGTTTCCACGTCTTCACAGCAGTACACGCCTTCCGTTGTTTCTCAGATGCAGGATCAGATGGAGCATAGGGTGCAGGCTCTTCACAGTGAAATCCGGAGTGAATTGGAAATCGAGATGGAAGCCCGATTTCAAGCCCAAATGGCCGCAATAGAGAGGAGAAACCAGGAGAAGTGGGATGATTTTATGCGTTGTTTCCCCGGCGAGACATGTTCCACCATTCAACCTCAGAGTCGAGACCCCAGGGACGACCCGAGTAGTGACAGAGCAGGGCAGGGTACCCCGGCTATAGCTTTGCTTTTGTAGTAGTAGTATGTACATGTACTTAATTTGGATTATGTTTTATGTCTGCATACAATATATATACATATATATATATATGTATATATATATGTATATATATGTATAAATATTTTCGTAACTAAATCATTAATTTAGTTTTATCTTGAATTAGGTGCAGGAGGTATACGTTTCGAATGGTGGTAATTCCAAAAAAATTGCTTAATTTGTTAAATTAGCAGGTGAAATTCCGACGGAATTTCTAATGGTATTATCCGTCGGAAGTTCCTTTTGTTGCGACGAAAAAATAGTCTGTCGAAATATGGCGACGGATTTTCAGATGGAAAATTCCGTCGGAAATCATATATTTTCCGAGGGAAAATAAATCTATTGGAACTTTGCGACGAAAAAAAGCATTGTAAGATTCTGACGGAAATTTAATCCTTCGAAAAATACAGACCTTACGACGGAATATTTCCGTCGGAAACGTATTTGATTACGACGGATTATTCCGTCGGAAGAGGTATATACCGACGGAATTAATTTCGTCGGAATATTGCGACGAACTCTCAATTTAAGTCAATCCAGACGCCGACAGATCTATTTCCTTCAGAAATTCCGTCGGAATATGTTTTTCCGACGGAAAATCCCTCGGAAAAAGTCCAAATTCCTACAAAATGTTCCGCAACAGATCATTCCGATGGAATTTCTTCGGAAAGATGATTTCCAACGGAATTTCAAATGATTCCGACGGATTTTATCCGTCGAAAAACGGCTGTTTTCTAGTAGTGACCACCTCTGTAACCGTCATCGGCACCACCATCTCCCATCTATCTCCTCAACCTTTGTCTTCCTCTACCTTAATCTCTCTCCTTGTTCTCTCAATTCCAAATGAGCTTGCCGTTGGAATGAATCAATTAAGTAATATCTTACTCTATATCGGTTAAAATTGACCAAAGATTTCAGTTTAAAACCTTCAATTGGAGTTGGATTTATCCCATAAAAGAATCTCTATTACAAATTTGGTATTTATCTCTCTCTCTCTCCCCTCTATTTCCTGGTGGTTTGTGAAAATGTGATGTTGGAAAGTTGTTGCGGTGATGATGGCTAGTGCCCATTGGTAATATGGTTGATGGGTGCATCTATCATGTCCCTCGACTTTGTTCTTTAACCCAGCAATAATGCCAAACTTGAGAAAATGAAAATATTAACCCATTAATTGATTCTCCTATAAAATTTATCCCATTAATATTACCCCCTTAATTATTCAAGGAAATCCAGGCAAGGTCTTAAGATGTGAAGAATAAGAAGTTACAAGAAAAAAAACATTGCCACAAGAAGAAAAACCTCTTTAATTGGAAAATATAAGTTGAACATGAGTTCATTTTCCATTACTACTACGCAATATAAAAATTTATCTCGAATATAATAACAATATTTTTTATATACGAAGTATATTAAATCACATAATTGCTTTATTTCTACAAGAGAGATGCCATATAACAAGCAAGCTTTTCCACACAAATAAAATGAACACAATTCTGATTTTTGCCCAAGAATTGGATTACTGCACTGATTCATTCGAGCCCTTTAAGGTGGTCAAGTAGTTAGAACATAAAACTATAAGTCACAAATGAGAGGTAACATTGCCCATCTGTAAGGTATATACTATTTCAACATGATTCAATTATACTTTTTGACCTGTAAAGTTTGATAAAACAAATGTAAAGTACATTATACTCTGAATTTAATAGGAATTATGTTGTCTAGAATGTATACTATGTCAATAACATAATTACATAAGCAATGATATTACACTTTTTATGTAAGAAAGTTGTAATATAGCTAACAAGATTTCACATGATTATTGTCAAGTATAAATCATGAAATATAGTATAATACTTAAAAAGTTATAGCTATTTTTAACCAGAATTGATTGAATCCATTATGGACATATATGGTTGGTCCTAATGCAAATTAATTGTATTTTGATATAGCTTAAGTTATTATAAAGTTGTACTTACCCTTATAAAATGAAGGGAGAACATAATTAGTACTCGAAGCAAGCATCCATTAACATGGTGCGTTTGTAGGTAGTAGTTACACCTTTTGAGGTTGAAAAATAAATGAAATAGAATTAATATCTCCATTTTGGTCTTATTTTATGATAAATACCTTTGAGTACCATGTTTAATTTGCAAACAAATGACCACTCCTTGTCTATCTTTTCATGTCTCACTTTCTCCTTCGCCCCCTTTTTGGTCTTGAACAAATTGTTGATGGAAATTAGGATATGATCAACGAAAACAAGTCCTTTTTCTCTACACATATAAATCCTAATAACAATAGTATTTGGTAGTTCACTGATTCCTCTAAGTAATAATATTGAAATTACAATCATTTATGAGTTCGTATATTGCACAAGTTTAAAGGCTAATTGCCTAATTGGCCAAATTAAACATATTTTGTGTCATTAAATAAGCCCAATTGTTTTTATATATATGGCCCATATGTTAGGATAAAATAAAACATCGATCTTTTATGACTTTTCGCCAACCAATAAGACAAGAATTTACGAAAGGTGAATATCAAGGCGATGCTGAAAGTGAACTCACACATATAGTTCTTAGTTGTTGGCTAGTTTGTTGAATTTACAACTCCTACTGTCGATACATGTTTTGTATTTACAACAATACAAATTAGTTTTTATTGTTTAACAACTCAAAATGCAACTCTATTTGCTATGTTTGTTTAACCTACAAGGGCATATATATGAACTCGCCTTTTTTAGGTGTAACAAGTTGCCCTCTTTATTAAAAAAATTTGTAACGTGTCCTTAAAAATATGTCAAGACATTTTCCACTATCAACTGTTCAAATAAAATCTTAAAGAATCGCTAAAAAATAAATAAGACAACTAGTTCAAGACAAAGGAATTTTCATTCATAATAACAATCATTACAACCTCTAATGAAATAAAAGTATAACGGCAATTTAAGAGCATATATACATCACATCAACACAATAGACTATCCATCACTAGTAACATTCCTTAATGGATAGTGTAAACCAAAACTCTTGTCATCAACAAATAAATAAATAAATAAATAAATAAATTACAAATCAAACTACCAATTACAAACTCCACACCTTATACAACCATACAAGAAGAACACATCAAAAAACCAAACAATAAAATAAAAAATGTATCTATCAACTTGTAAAGCATTGGACATTCTCAAAAATTAATGACCAATGCTTCTTAATCAACCAAAACTAAACACCCAAAAAAAAATTAAAATTGATGAAATCTTGTACGAAAATCAATGTTTTTCTTCATCACTAATATCCTTAGAAACCCACCAAACTCTTAAACTTTTATCAAGACTTCCACTATACAACAAAAATCCACCTCCAACACAATTAGGTGATACTTGTAAACACTTAATTGGACCATCATGCCCTCTAATCACCCCAATTTTGCTAATCCCACTTTTTAATCCATCTTTCAAATTATAATCATCTCTTTTCCATAAACAAATACTCTTATCAGCTGATCCACTACACAAATTATCTCCCATAAAACTTAAACATAAAATTGATAATTGGTGTGCTTTTACCTCTACTACCAACTTCCATTCCCCTTCTTTTCCCCTTTCCCACCCCATCAAATACCCATCTGATGCACCTCCATACACCCTCTCATTCTCATCCCCATCCCCATTCCCGCGATCGGACACGATCACGGCATTCATTGATACATCCTTATGACCCTCTAGAACCCCCTCCAACCTATGCAAACTCGAGCTCGAGTTTTTCTTACTACACTCCTTACCCCATACCTTAATTTTCCCATCAGCAGAAGCAGAGTAAACAACCCCATTTTTAGCAATTAACCCATTAATTGCATCATCATGCGCTTTAATTGACTCTAAACACCTTAAATCAGATAATCTCCAAACCTTTAAAGTCTTATCCCAAGAACCAGAATAAATTAACCCATTTTCAACTGCTAAACATGATATACTATCAGCATGTTCAATCCATAACTTCTTATGATGCCTTCTAATTTGTACATAATTACTCTGTTTCATACACTTTCCTAGATAATCCTTCGTCGTAGGAAGCGTGTCCACGAGTCGAAACACGTTCTCCGATCTCTTAGACACCTTCCACACCCGAATTCGGCTATCTTGATGGGCCGTAAACACTTTATTGGCAACCGTAACAAGCGCCTTGACCGAGCCTTCTCCTGCACCAAACTTAGTAAAAAGCCGTAAATCGGGTTGTTGCCATACAATAATGTCCTTTCCTTGAGACGCACTCAACACAAATTCGCCGCATAACGCTAAACACGAAATCGCCCCTACATGACCCGAAAGTACATCTAGGAGTTTGTACGATTTTGTTGACCCTCCTATTAACTTTTCCACATTTTTCATTATCTCAAACGGCCGAGGATAACCAATATTATTCGGGTTATCCTCGGCTGCCTCGCTACTACTACTACTACTGCTATTCGTAGCACTACTGGATAGGTAAAGTAGCGGGGTAGATAGTGATCTTTTCGGGTTAAGAAGAATGGAACACATTGTATAGAACGTATAATGTTGTTATTGTTTACGAATAATGATATCGAGATCGTAATTGGAAAAATAGGAAAATTTTCGAAGTCGAGGGAGGAAATGAAGGGGAAATTTGGTGGTAGAGGAGCGGAGGAAAGTGAGGGAATTAAAGGGAGGGAGGGAGGTTGCTTTGTTGAAGGGGTAGAATATTTAAATGTTGTGACGGGGAGGTTGTAACTGCAACGGCTAATTTTGAATATTAAGGAAAAAATAAAGCTAAGTTTGATTTCATAAAATATAAATAATTTTTTTTGGCTTTTTAATAAATTTTTTTTTTTTATTGGTAGCTTTTGGGGTCCACATTGGGACCGATTTAACGGCTTTTTAATTTTATTGGCTGTACTGCAATTTTGATTTTATTTTGTTATATATTTTTTTATGTATATACATTGTTTTTTATTTTTGTTCAAAAATAAATAAATTGTTTATACTTTTGTGATGAATATTTTTGGAAGAAGGTTTCATGGTTTTTGGCCAAAAGTGAGATTGTGGACCAATGTTAGGATTCCATGTCACGTTAGTTGGTATCAAGGTTGCTTATTTGAGTGTTTTTAATTGAAATTAAACTTTATTGTGGTGATTTTAGTCGTTTAATTGGTCTTATTATTAGCTTGATATGATAATGGTTTGCATTGCATTGGTTCCTTGCTTGCCGGCCGTCATTCTTTTGTTCTTTGTTGTGGGTAGCAAGTACTTTTTTAGATTAATGTATTGTTGCTTCCTGGCACGCGTAGAACAATCTATTGTCAGATTATTAGGATAGTTGTGGGCCTGTGTGTTGTGCAAGGATATCGAACGAGCGATCACGAGCTCAGCGACTCGAAAACTTTTTATATTTGCTAAAGTTTTAAACCAATAAAATCCTGCTCGACTCGTATAGGCGGAATCAGGGGGGTTGGGGTGGGGTTTGGCCTCCCCTTTGGTTTTGGTTATCTATTAAATGTTGGTAATATATTGTGTTAATTGATTGTAGCTAAGTTGGTTTTGGGTGAAATTTGAGTTTATTTTCTAGCTCCCAAATTTGAATCTTTCCCCTAACACTTTTTTTTCTCACTCTTTTTGACATTTCAATATACTCCAATCATTTTTATGCGCAAGGTATTACTACATAATTACGTTTGGCCCCCCTATAAAAATTTTCTAGTTCTGCCATTGTGACTCATGCTCGTTAAAGTTTCGAGTTGAGTCGAGTAGCTCTCAATTTAGTCGTTAACATTATTAAAAACTTAATTTCCATTAGAAAATTTGCTTGTGACAATTCTGTTTCTGTTGAGTTTGACCCTCTCAGTTTTTCTGTGAAGGGCCTTCTTTCGGGGACAACTCTAGAGAAGTGCAATAGTGTGGGGGACCTCTACCCTTTCTCCAATTTTTCCGCTGCAAATGGCAATATTCATCTCTCTTTAGCTGCAATTTCTCCTTCAACTTGGCATCATAAGTTTAGACACCCCGACGAACTTGTTTTTGATTTTCTTAGGAAAAACAATTTCATTCGTTGTAATAAGAGAAATAGTTCTCATTTTTGTTACTCTTGTCCATTGGGAAACATGTACGACTTCCTTGTAAGTCTTCTACTTTCGTTACTTTTTCACCGTTTGATATTATTCATATGGATTGTGGACATCTCCTATTTCTAACAAATTGGGTCACAAATATTATTAGTTTTGCTTAATGATTTCTCTCATTTCCTTTGGGTGTTTCCTATCAAATATAAATCACAGGTCTATGATATTTTGATTAATTTTCGAGCTTATATTAGGACTCAATTCGAAAAGGACATTAAACTTTTCAAAGTGAAAATGGTCGTGAATTTGATAATTCCCCTTTTCGAAAATTTTGTGTGGATAATGGCATGATTTTTCGCTTCACTTGCCCTAATACTTCTTCCCAAAATGGCAAAGCCGAAAGGATTATTCGCACAATTAACAATGTGTCTCGTACTCTCCTTTTCCATGCATCTCTTCCCCCCTCCTTTTGGGTATATTCCGTGTCTATGGCTGCTTATATCCTTAACATTCTTCCCTCCACAACCATACAAAATCAGACTCTTACCGAAGTTCTATATCGTAGAGTACCCTCTTACGATCACCTTTGTACTTTTGGTTGCCTATGTTACCCAAATCTTAGTGTCATTGCGTCTCATAAGCTTGCACCTAGATCCAAACCGTGTGTTTTCTTGAGTTTTCCGTCTAATCATCGAGGTTTTTTATGTTATGATTTATCTTCTAATAAATAATCATTTTGCGTCATGTCACATTTGTTGAAGACTCATTTCCATTTTCCAATCTAAACACTTTTGCACAAAATGATTATGGTTTCTTGCATTCAGAAATCAACAGCAACATAAACCCCATACTCCTGCAACCCCCCAGCCAGGCCGACCCACACACAATCTCACAAACCGACCAAGCTCACCCTCCTCACCCTCCAACAACTCCAACTCACGCCAAACAGTGTACTCCGCAGGTGGGCTGCGGCCAACCTCAATCTGCCACAACCCAGTTACGGAGTCCACTGACCAACCCACCTAATTCACCTCAAACTCCCCCCACATCTCCTAATGTGATCCAATTTGGGTCAGCCCAATTCCGGCCCCTCAACCATGGCATGCTCCACAATCCTCTCACTCCATGCCAGTCGCGCCATGAGTGGGATCTTTAAACCAAACCCAAAATATCAAGCTCATCTTACGGTTCAGGCTATTTCTCCACTACCCAAAAATCCCAAATTAGCTATGCTTGATCAAATTGGAATGTCGCCATGAATGAGGAATTTAATGCTCTTACCAAACAACATACATGGGATCTTGTTCCAAGACCAAAGGGGGTGAATATTATTTGATGTATGTGGTTGTTTAAACACAAATACAGGGAAAATGGTGATTTAGATAGACACAAAGCTAGACTTGTTGTGAATGGCAAGTCTCAACAGGTTGGTGTTGATTGTGATGAGACTTTTAGTCCTGTCGTGAAGCCGGCTACCATTTGGACTGTGCTGAGTATTGCCATGGGTAGAGATTGGCCCATTCATCAGTTAGATGTCAAAAATGTGTTCCTTCATGGTGACCTCAAAGAGACCGTGTTTATGCATCAACCACCAAGGTTTGTATATCCCAATGCTCCTACCTATGTCTGCCGGCTCCGCAAATCACTTTATGGTCTTAAACAGGTCCATCGGGCTTATTATCAACGTTTGCTAATTATGTCTTGAAGATTGGTTTTGTATGCAGCAAAAGTGATAATTCCCTCTTTATTTTGCGACATGGTGCTAATGTTGCATATCTCTTGCTTTATGTTGATGACATTGTTCTTACAGCTTCCTCAGAACAACTCAAGTGTGATATTATTGCTCTTCTTAAGTTCGAATTCTCCATGTCTGACTTGGGGAAGTTGAGTTATTTTTTGGGAATTTCTGTAACACGAACAAAGGACTCCATGGTTCTTTGTCAGAGTAAGTATGCAGAGGAAATTATTCACAGGGCTAAGATGGACAGTTGCAAACCAGTTGTTACGCCCGTTAACACTAAGTCGAAACTTGGGCCTCACGATGGTGAGCCAATGAAGGAACCCTCTCTTTACAAGAGCCTTGGAGATGCACTTTAGTACCTCACTTTCACCAGACCTGACATTGCTTATGCCGTACATCAAGTTTGTCTATTCATGCATGATCCTAGGGAACCTCATTTTTACGCTTTTAAACGTATTATCATATATATCGAAGGCACCGCTGATCATGGCCTACAGTTATACCGCTCTGCTCCCACGAGACTTATTTCTTACACAGATGTCGATTGGGGCAGCTGCCCGGACACGCAACGCTCAACTTCAGGGTATTATGTTTATTTGGGTGATAATCTTGTCTTGTGGACTGCGAAACGACAGGCTAATTTGTCCCGATCAAGTGCCGAAGCAGAATATAGAGGTGTCGCTAATGTTGTTGCCGAAATTTGTTGGCTCCGGAATCTACTTCTCGAGCTACATTGCCCTATTCGACGGGCATCCTTGGTTTATTGTGATAATATCTCTGTCGTATACTTGTCATGCAATCCGATACAACACCAACGTACCAAACACATTAAGATGGACATTCATTTTGTACGCGATAAGGTCGCTCTTGGTGAGATCAAGGTCCTACATGTTCCGTCTTCATACCAGTATGCAGATATTTTCACCAAAGGTTTATCCCGACAACTATTCTTAGAATTCAAAGACAGTCTCAGCGAGCGGGGGTGTGATAGATAATAGGTTTGTATTATCTTATCAATATTCTGTAAAGATATATTTTGTGTAATTTAGGTATCTCATGATTAGGTTGTAAATACCTATATATATTCAATGAATGAGTAGCCTTCACTCAATGAGAATTACACTATTCTACAATGAAATTTCCTATTCAATTACCGGCTATTCGATTTGAAAATTCTATGACGGAGTATTTTTTTTTTCCAAGAGCTTGTGCGTGGTATATTGATAGTTTGTGATGTGGGAACAAAGTGGATACGTACTCAAGAGTAATTATTTAGTATTATTTATTTTTGGGCTTGGATTTTTACAAAATGAGATTAAAATGAGTATTTATATTCATTAAGAAATTTGGAAATAATTACCCCTCAAAATACTCTATTTAGAACTAACCACCTCTTTTTCAAATATTTTAAATTACTACACCTTAAAATAAATAATAAAAAATTAGATGTCACTACCCATTGTTTGAATTCGGCCACTTTTTCAACCAAGGGGCCCACATAACGGCCGTGATTAGAACTTATAAAATTTGTTTATTTCCTCTACTTTTTAAAGTGTTAAGATGACTTTTGCACTATTCACATGTTAGACTCAATATAGTTTTCAACTTTATGTTGTTGTATACGAGTAATACATTGTTGGATTAATCAAATGTATATTTTCATAATATCAATTACATATTTGCAAATACATGATCAAAGATTTTAATGCTCAGACCTATCGTGTCTTTGCATGTGTGAAAATACTAGTGTGTCACTTTTTTTTTTTTTTTGTTTTAAATATGGTCATAAAATTACATAAAAGCACATTGAATCAAATCGAACATTCTTAACGATTTTGTGTAAAAATATGAGTTTCGTCAGACAATTACATAGTACATTAGGTTAGACTAAATCAGATCAAAACAGATTCATTCAAACCAGAACAAATTACATTTTACAAGTAATAAAATCAAACTAGAACAAAAAAATCAAACTAGAACATTTTGTTTGAATTGAACATTGGAGCATTAGTCCAAAGTCATAGAAGTATAGAACGAGTAGTTCTTAGCTTGACTTTTCTTTGGAGTGTAACGTGCAAGTTGCAAGGTAGAAAAAATGAATTTAGTCCACACCATAGGCCCACCAGAATTAATTTTTTTTTTTTTTTTTTTTTTTTTTGCCCACGAGAACTTAAGATGACGAGATGAGGCCTTTTCATAGTCCTAAACATTGTACATATGATTCTCACAAAGTCAGAAGTCATAATAGTGAGCAACTCATTAATGGCAGTCTCTTTGTTAGCCCTGAAAAATACTTGTATGTAGTATTTCGTAAGTACATATTGTTTAGTTGTAACAATTTGTCATGGATGTCCGGATGTCCCAATGAAGTAAGAGTTTCTAAGAGCAATATAGACGTAACCAGGATCGTGTCTGAGATTTTGGAGGCCCAAGGACAAACTAATACTACTATTTAGAAGCCCTATACATTGTTTTTTATGTTCTTCTTAAATAGAATAAATATTAATTAAACAAAAAGTCTATTAAAAAAAACCAACTAGCCGACTAGCCGTCATTAGCAAAAAAAAAAAATTATAAAATAAATAATTTCACCGACAAATTCTAAGTAGACACAACTTTCTCCAACAAATTAAATATATTACTAAGGGTGTATTTTTTTCGTCCGAACTTATCAAATTACCCCTGATTAGACTTCATCAACTCTAATTTTTATGTTTGGATGTACACCTGATTGGACCTGTAACTTTTTTTTTTTTAACATCCTAATTTGTTCAAAATAAGACTCGTTAGTCCAAATATAATATTAGATGCTTATAACCAATGATTTGGATACAATTATAGTAATAAATAAAAGAACGAAAACTGATATTATACTTGGCTAATCATATTACTATATCCTGAATAGATTTTATTGTTTCTATAAAGCAATGATGATTGATCTAACACATTTCTTAAGACCGAGTTATATAACACATGGATGTTAGTCATAAGCTCATTACTCAATAGACAATGATATACTACGTATATACATATGGTGAGCCACAAAGCGCATGTGTCTAATACTTTCATGCAGTTAATAATCTTTATTTTAGATTTGAGGGGTAACAAAATTTGGGCCTTTGTCCGGGGCCTTGGGCAAGTGCCTCAGTTGCCCTTAGGGGTGGTAATTCGGGTCAGCAGGTCGGGTTCAGGTCGGATTTCGGGTCGATTTTGGGTTGTGCTTAGAAACTATCAAAAATAGTGTAAAACTGAATATTATTACAAAATATGAAATTTAGGTCAAATCGGGTCGAATTCAAGTTGTTCGTGTTCGGGTTTCTCTTAGTAACTTTGGGTCGGGTTATCGGGTCGGGTCAGGGATTGCTAGCCCTATTTGCCCTGGATCAAATAGGGGCCTGGACATAGCATATTGCTCTGGGTCATTTGTATGACCAACGATAAACGCCAAACAAATGCGGACCAAGTCAGAGTTGTTGCTAGTGTTCCTTAAAATCAAAGGTGAATATCTATGAGCAAGAAAAAGTCCGTATAATAGTGGATTGGTGAATTTATAACCAGCCGCAATTTTTACCCATCTTCATCGGGGTTATTCACATCATCATCATATCGTATCTCTCTTCTCTCTTTAATTCCATCATTTACTTTCCGTATTTTGCTTCATTCATTCCAAATCTAGTTGCATAACAAATCCCAACCAAGAACTGTCTCTTTAGGCGACTTTTAACATAAACACATATATTAGAGTGAACATGGGCTAGGTCGACACTAAGGGCCTGTTCCAATTTATTGAAAACAACTGAACTGGACTGATTGGGGCTAAACTGAACTAAATAGAGCTGAAATGAATTGTTTATGAGAGAAGGAAATTAGGAACTGATTGGAGCTGAACTGAACTGAACTGAACTGATGAACTGAAATTAAGCTGAACACAACAGGCCCTAAAATGGCCAAATGAAAAAGGAGTCGATCACAACGTTGGCACAGACACAAGATGTGGATCAGGACCGTGAATAGACATGCAACATTATTCATTATATATTTAATTTTGGTATAGCTATATAGTACTATAGTAGAGTTTGGAGTTCAGACATGAAGGGTTTAGGATTTTTATATGTGCACACCCAAATTGTTAGTTTGCATATGATACTAAAATTAAATATGCCTTCATTTCTAAAAAAAATGAAAAAAAATATATAAAAGTAATATTAGAAAAATACAAATTATGACATACTAATTGTTAAGTGCAAGTGTTAACATTGTTTGTTCCACATTAAAAAAGAAAGCAAAGGACTTTCAATTTATAACCCAAGCAGGCTACTACTCCTCTTATTGTCAATTGTTTTGGGATAGAACCTCACTTTGGGTTCTAGTAGTGGCTTATGAGCTTCTCTCCCTAGTCTCTCTCCCATTTGTTATAACATTTTGGTATCAGAGTAAAGTTGAACTGTGTAAGATCTGGTGTGCTTATGTAAGTATGTTTAAGGGGAAGTGTATAGGCTCACACTCGAGGGAAAGGTTGTCTAAGTGCAAGTGTGGCTATTGTTTGTCCCCCAATGACAAGAAGGGGTCATATTCGTAAAATCAATGTTGAGTACGTATGTAACAATGATATGGTACTGCTGCCTCTACAATAATTTCTCCATGGAAGCACAAGTATCAATGGTGAAATCAATAAAGGAGAGAGGACTCACACCAAATGACAAACACTTACCCCTATAGCGTTAACAATTCTCTTTATTTCTATTTTTCTCTTAGGGTTTTCTTAAAATTCGCCGCCGAAATACGTTCTCCATTAAAGTAGCTTCTGACGGGAGAAATGGTGGTGGTGGCGGTGATGAGTTCGGAGAGGAAAGGGAAGATTTTTCGTACCTTCTTTGACAGGATGATGTAGGAAGGTGGTAGTACATGGTGGACTGGTGGTATTGTGGTGGGAGTGATGGCTGATGGGTTTCATTAAAGAGGAAGAAGAAATGGGTTTCATCGAGGATTCGAGGAAGAAGAACACAAACATGTTATTACAGTTTTTTATTTTTTTTATTTTAACTTTTCCCTTTTTATTTTCAACTTATTTACTATTATGCCACTAGATTAATTTCCCTTGTTTATCAAGAAGTTAAATGAGGGTTGTCTCATTAGAAAAGAAAATAAAGGGCTTTTAATTTTTAACCTAATTGGACAGTTTCTCATATATCAATTGATTTTAAGATGGAACCTCATTATGGCCTCTATTAAAAACAGATAAAGGGGATATGGATATAGTAATTCTTACGGAGTAATCCATAAAGGAAAAAATGGGATCCGCCATTTATTTTTCGTTTTGATGAGAGGGATCTGCCATTACCTTGTTCAAATTTGCATATAATTTGTACCCTTGTTTTATATTCATGATTATATATGGACCTTTGTTCTTTCCTTAACAACAGTTATAACAGATAAATAAAAAGAGTTTATTCATTAAAAACAGAAAGAAATACATTTTACAAGTTTCTTTTATAAAACTAGAACTCCAGAATACTCTATTCAAATCTCCTGTTGAACATCTGTTGCATCATAATCAGGAAATACATAATCCAGTAGGATACTAATTTGATGGACTCTTATAAGGTGAGAGCGATATCATTACTTAACTACTCAGCTATTATTGGTAGTGCATACATAACATAATTTAACATTTGGTTATATACTATCGATCGTAGGCATATTGTATTTTATTCAGAGCGTGGCATCATCATCGACTTGCTCATGGAATTGTGTAACCTGCCCAAAAAAGGCATAAGTTAAAAACGTTAATATTACAACATCGAAAAGCAGTACTTGGTACTACCTTAGTGCCTTGTACCAACAATGGAAGGGGAAAGGAAGAGAGGGGTAGCTAATTAAGTACACATTGGCAATTATTGGACCAAAAATTAAAATTAGAGAAGGTCACGCCAAACTTTTAACCTCTATTTAAAAATACAAATAATATAAATATATGATTAATAATTTTGCCATAATATGTTACGGAGTACCATGATAGTAGTTCATAAAAAAATAATATATCCTTTTTGTTCTTTTGAAAGACTTTCAACCTAGATCCTCTCCTGAAAACTAGAAGAGTCAAACATTATATGTTTTATTGCCACCCCAAGATGTTCAAGAAGATGTATCGCATATTGTGAACATTAAATCATGAATCCGTCTCTAACATAGACAATTTTCTAAATGCACAAGATTTAATTAAATTTCTACTTACTCAACTCTTACCCAATCATACTATTCGTGTTTACTTGGTCATCTAAATAACATACAAGTAGTATTAATAAGTCAACAACATAATATTTATACGTTAATCCTAAACTCCCAAATTCACAATCATTACATAGATACAAATCTCTCATCATGGCAACCGACAGTAGGAGACAATTTCATTGTTTTATGTGATGATTTTCTCGTTTTGGTCGGTCTTCTATCATTTTTTTTTACTTTTATTCTATCCCATAATGTATGAAAATCATGAATTCTTAGCCTTTTCCTTTAAAGTATTATTCTTATTATTTGCTCTACAATTATTTCATCACAAATTTTATGTAACAAATAAATTAAAAATACTCCCTCCACTAGTCCATCTCAAAACAATTCTTTTTGTATAAAAAACGGTAATTATCTCATAAAAAAATTGAAAACCTTTTAAAGATGAAGGGAAGAATTGAGTGTCCTAAAAAAGACAGTATTAGCGAACATTTACTTAATGTCAGTATAAGAAATAGTATTACTGATAGTATATATCATGTTCATGTCTATATTAAAAACAAGGTGCTATGATATCAAGAAATAAAAAATGAGTTACTTAACCAAAAAGATTGAGTTTATAGACACTTACTTCCACATTTAGAGCCGTGCTTAAAATTAACATCACAATATTGAGCAACATAAACAGCCTTCTCAACACTAACATATTGCTCAATATCCTTAGTAACATACTTGCATAAACATGGAATATTAGCCTTTTTTGCTACGGCACAACATTGTGAGGAGGGCGGGGTTTTTGGCCCCGCCTTCCTCACATACATAGCACATTGGCTAATTAAACCCGAAATATCCCCTTCGCATTGCCCGTAAGCAATGAAGTTTTCGTTGCCAAAAGAGAAAATGCAAGCTATAAGAAGGATAGTAATTGCAGTAACACGCAATGTAGGAGTTGCTAATGCCATATTCTCAATTTCTTTTGTCTCTCTTTAAATCTTTTGTTTTTCTTTCTTTGTTTTGCTCAATATGGAGGAATGACGGTTGAGGAAGTATATATAGGCAAATTTGGGTCCCATTATACCCCCTTTTTAGCTTGGTAATTTACTAAAATGGCCCTAGTAGGACCATAAATCCTTAAACTATTCCTAACTTTCCACAAGCTGATAAAAGCATAATTAAATTTATTAACAGTTGAAGTGGTGTGTTAACAAATGTGTCAATTCAAAACGATACAATTATTATTCATAAATAGAAGGAATTAAGCAACTAACATATTGCAAGAGATCTATGATAAATATGTTCATTTTAATTTGATTTTCAAAATAGTCCAAATCTCATATTGCACTAGAAGATATGATTAAAAAGATAGACAAAATTTACCAGGCCAGAGAGGAAATCAATGGGTCAATATATTAATTAAATTATCATACGAAATAGTAACGATTGAATGGAAAACGAATCTACTATCCTACTATGAAACCAAACTGATTTATTGTCCAGTTTTGATTGCAATTAAATTGAATCAAACTAAATCCAATCCGAACAACCTATTAATCATCTTGATATATACATTTTTGCGGGTGGTTGGTGTCTTGATGATAGAGTTTTGGCTAAAGATCAAAGGACCGGGTATGTCCAACACTCTAAGTCTCCAACATAGTCATTCCTATGTTTTAAGTGACACCTATAGACTTAATCTTACATCATAACATAATATATTTGGGTAAGAAAGTTGGTGGAGGGACTATTTAAAGCTGAATAATAATGGACTCAACCACCCCATTTTAGCAAGGGATTTTTTTTTAAAAATTATGGCCTTAAATGCAACCACTTGTTAAGGTATACCACTATAAAAAGTTTAATTCCTACAGAATTGCTATTTCTTCTAGAGAATGAAACATATTCATGATATACTAGAAAATTAAAACAATGTGCAATGTGCAGTGTGCTCCTTGTAATTTGTATACAAAATGGTGAAAAAACTAGGTATCATTGTTCTATATATAAACATAAATGTAACAATTTATTGAAATTATCATCTGTCCTTCTTTAACTATATTATGAGAATGCGAGGAGCTAGAAATTTTATGAAATTGCTTGGTAAATGAAAATTGTACATAAATGAAGGGATCTAATTTCACTATAACGTGTGGAATATGATGGAATGACGATATGAACGGTAGGCCATTTTAAAATAAGGTGACATAGTAGTGTTTGTTTGGTTGAATATAGGAAGATTTTTCCAAAAAAGTGATTTTTCACATATAAGTTCATTTCTTCCAAATGCATTAGTTTTAGTATGAGTACTATAATTTTCTATGAAAATTTCAACTTACCTAGGCATTTCAAATTCTATGATGTTTGCAAACCAAATAATATCACGTCCTGTCGTTTCCTAATTAATTTAACACTTTCATATAATTCATGTTAATCAAACAAGCATATATGTTTATAAATCCTTTTCATACCTCATATTGTTGACATGTGTGAAATGAGAATTGTTGCAAGTATAATAAACAGAAGAAGTATTTACTTATAAACGTTTGACTATATATGCTATGCATTTTGCATGTAATAATAAAAGCATCTATATGGATATTTCCAAGACAACGCATGCGTGCTTCACACACTAGTGCATATATATGTGATACACCTTGAAACAATATGGATTGTCCATCCTTTTATATACACAAATACCGCTGAATTTGAAGGTGGATCATATAGCTTGTGTTCACTAATTTAACGATATAACTAATTAAGTACATAATTTCCCAACATCGTAGTAGGTCACTTCTTAGTTTTAAATACACTGTAAGTTTTAGTTGTGATAAATCATATCGGCACAACTTTAAAGGGTTTGAAGTCTTATTTGTTTATTTCGCTTAAGTTTTACAAATACACCATTTTTTTTTTTATTACAGCCAAGAAAGCAAATTACATGCCCTTCCTAGCAGAGACAGCTAGTTTATGGGCTACCTTTACAACATTTCTACTTACCTTTTTGAAAACTAAAGAACCTAGAACTCCTCATGATTCTTGGATAGCAAATTTCAGAAAATCATACAAATTTTTTAATATAATTAAAAAATTACTCCTATTAATATTGATTATTTATCGGACACCAAACCATCCACAAGGATTCCACCACAAGTTTTAACCGTCACCAAATAAAACAAGGTTATATCCAACTTAAGAAACTCATGACACAACAAGCAAAGAAAAAACAGTTGATCATAGACATTACATAAACATATACTACGTAAATAAACAAAAAGGTATAGAATACTTAAAATTATACAAGTGAAAATACGAAAACTTACTTCCACATTTAGCACCATGTTGAAAGGGAATCCCACAATATTGAGCAATATAAACCGCTTTATCAACGCTTACAAACTTTTCGACTCCTTGAGTAACATACTTGCATAAGCAAATAACATCCGCGTTCCTTGCCACAGCACAACACTGCGCGGAAGGTGGGGATTTCGCACCCACCTTCCGCACATACTTAGCGCATTGGCTAACAAGGCTAGGGATATCCCCGGCGCATGATTGGCCATATACCATAGAGTTGTGATTATCAATGAACCCGATTATATAAACGATCATTAAGAGGGTAACAGTGGTAAATCGCACTCTTGGGGATTTTAATGATACCATATTGATATAATCTATGGTTTATGCGTTGTGGTTTAATTTGGGGAAGAGAATAATTTGTAGTTGTTGATGTGAAATTGTGAATGATTTTTGTTCTGCTGGGGTTGGCGAGAAAGAATTAGGTTTGGTCGTTTGGAGACTTTGAGGTTCGACCGTCGACGAGTTTGGCGCGTGTTGACTTGGACTTCATTGACAAGGAATTGACTTGCATTTCCTTAATTATTTTTCTTTAAACTACCCGGTTAATTTTTATTTGCAACAAATAACCTTACTTGTGATATATAAAAAATTTCTTTATTGAAACTAAAAATTAACGGAGGTAATATTACTCCCATCCATTTAAGGATTGTTTGGTTGCCATGGGAGATGAGTTTCCTTAGGAAATCATATTTCATGAGAAATAATTTCTCTTGTCTATTTCCTAGGAATTGTGCTAAGCTTGTTTGGTTGATAACACAGGAGCTTAAATTTCCTAGGAATTGATTTCCTATGTTTTATTATTTATTTTGATTATTTTTTATTAAAGTTAACTAATTTGGAGAGAGAAAGAAAGATACTAAATTATTAGTACTAATAATGTAAGTAGGCCCCACAATAATCATGGAAAAGGTGACTTACCAGGGGGGGTTGGTAAGTGAATTATCATGTTCCATAGGAATTGCAACTTCCCTTGGAAATTCCATTTCCCCCAATTGATAAAATTGTGTCAACCAAACAACACTCTCATATCTTATTTCCTAGGACATGGAATTTCCCATATCTTTTACCTCCAACCAATGTAGGTCATTTCAGAATAGCTCATTAAGATACAAACCCGATTTTGTATACTATATAGTTAAAATTTTTGTAATTATTTCTTTTTGATACGGAGTAACTTGTAAAATATACATAAAAAAAAAAATCACAATGAGCACTTTTGAACATTAAAATATTGACATACCGGTAAAAAAAAAAAGGATTCGGTAGGGACAAAGGGTAAAGTATATGAAAGGTTTATTAAATAAAAAAAAATTATGATGTCATCATAGCAAATTGGCGGGAAAAAAATTCACGTGAGAATGACATGTGTAGAATTTGAGAAAGGGATGATGTCAGCATGTTTTGTTTTAGTATCATTAATGATGTTAGAAAATATATAATTAATTTACCATACTTTTATTTATGTTGAAAAAAAAATAATGATGTCACTATTAGTTTTGGCGGGAAATTTTTCTATGAGAGGTTGACATGTGTATAGTAATGTCAGCGGTAATTAATTTAGTTATAGTTATAGATAGGGGTTACTCGGTTAGTGTTACAGGGGTTACTTCGTCAGTATTATAAGAGTTACTCGGTCAATATTATAGGGATTACTCAGTCAGTGTTATAGGGGTTACCTTGTTCTTTTACAAAAGGCCACATAGTGTGGCCAACCGTGCACAAAATGCGTTTATAATATTAATATTAAGGTCAAAATAATGTATTGGTAGGAAACGAGTCAAGTTTGATTGCATCAATTATTATGGAATGGTAAAGTGGGCGATAGTAATAAAATATATATATATATATGTATAAGAGTTGAATTTGATCCAAATATATATATATATATATATATATATATATATATATATTTGTTTGAGGCTAGGAATTTGTTTTATACTCTATCACGACCTCTCACATGAGAGCACTTTGGGCTTGAAATGTGGATTTGTGTCACGCTGGCTCTTGATACCATGTTAAAAAATCATCTCAATCAAAAATTTAAGTTGATGGTTGAGGGCCAAAATATGGTTTATACTCTATCAGTATGCAATCTAGGAAACTCAAGTAATTGTATTATTTGCTCCATACTGATCTTAGATGAAACGGATCATACAATATCGTTACTTGACTTTTTGATCGACACATGCAAATGAAGCAATTTGTTTACGAACATTAATTTTTTATTCAAAAATTAAGTACAAAAATTTATTGGCAAATTTCCAATTAATTAGAAGATCACTTCACTAATAAACTTTTGATGGAGTTCAATATCAATCAAATAATCAAATACAAAGATTATAATATCCCATTTACATTCTGGCATCATAAAGCATTATTGATCTACTCGTATGTGATTAGTAGCACTATAGTGCATATATAACGTACAAGATACAACCGGCTATATAGTACCACGCACCGCGAATATAGCACCACGCACCGTGAATATAGTACGTTCAAGGCGTATTTGGAACTGTGTAGCCTGCCAAATAAGTATAGATGTTAGAGAAGTGCCAATGTGATGTATTATCAATCTTGCATTAATTAAAAGGCAGAATCTAGTAAATTTTTATACTACCTCCGTTAATTTTTAGTTGCAATAAAGGAATTAAGGCAGAATCTAGTAAATTTTTATACTACCTTCGTTAATTTTTAGTGGCAACAAAGAATTTGTTATAACTCACAAGTAATATTCTTTTGTTGCAACTAAAAATTAACGGATGGATGTAGTAATTGAAATAAAACAAGAAAGAAACTAACGTAAGGTCATCAATAATACATATTTAATAGGATATATAATTAGAAATTTGAGATACTTACTTCCACATTTTGCTCCACGTTGAAGGACAACACCACAATATTGAGCAACATAAACAGCTTTAGGAACGCTAAGAATACTTTCTAAACTTTTGGTAGCATACTTGCATAAGCAATGCATATTAGCATTCCTTATCACACGACAACAATCTTCGGAGGGCTGGATACTAGGGCCGTCTTTTCTCACGTACTTGTTACAATAGCTAGTTAGTCCCGTGATGTGGGGCATATAACCGTCGCATGACTGGCCATAAACCATAGAGTTGTGACTTTCAATAAACCCGATAACATAAGCTATCATAAGAAGGGCAACCGCGGTAGAACGCACCGTAGGAGCTACTAATGATGCCATTGATATAATGTAGGTTTGTGAGATTGTCCCCCTCAAAATAAAATAAAAAATAAAAAACTAAAAGAAATAATAAGATAAAAGCTTATTAATTTGTTGTGGTTTGATTTTAGGGAGAATGACTGATATATAATGGCCGAGGATGTGAAATTGTAAATGTCTCGTGTTGAACAGAGCTGGCAAGGATAAAAAATGAACGTTGTCTGAGTTTTTATAGCAAATTAAAATACTTATCCTTTTCTATTAATATGAATAATACTCTATCTACAAGGTAACAACATTGTAAACCCAAACTATAGGAAAATCCAGCTTTAATCTAATGCTCAAAGAATCGTGAGTTTTATTATAATTATCTTACAGCACGTATATCATATTACATTTAGGAAAGTTATAATTTTATCTCGAAATTGTGAAGTAAAACAATGTTTCTCTCAATCGCAAATAAAATGAAGTAAAATGCGGACCACATATGAGTAAAAAAGGAAAAATTAAAAAGTCAATTATCTTTTTATTAATAAAAATAAGTTTAGATCATAAACAATTTTTTAAAAAATGACTTTTATAGATTGTACTTGTGTTTAATTAGAAGAAATATGTTCAATAATTTAGATTAGATCACGAAAATCAAGGTGAATTACTCCGTGTTATATAGGGCCTTAGTCTAGTTCATATCTTAGTTTATTCACATGATGACATGAATAGCGCTAGCTGCCTAGCTGAAGGAAATGTCGTTCATTTAGAGTGCACTTACTAAATATGGGTATATAGAAGAAGATTGATTATGGAGATTTAATACTGTAATTCAATTATTCTAGGAACGTGGGGTCATAATATGTTGCTAGAAACCAAATATGGGTAATTAAATAGGATTAATACGATTTTTTAATCCCAACTTTGACCAATTTATTTTTATTAATCCCAACTTTGTATTATTCCGCAATAATCCCAACTTTGATATGTCCTATCATTCCTTATACCCAACAGGTTTCTTAACCTATTGTACCAGGTCACTTGACACATGTCAAGTCCTGATTGGTCCAAAAATTGAAAAAAAAAAAAAAAAAAACTAAAAACCACATAAACCAGCCAGCCACCTCCATCCCACCGCAACCCTTCCATCCCACCGCAACCCCTCCGCCTCCTCCCTAGCCCCCACCAGAAACCACCATCTCCCTCCCCAATCCCATCGAAAACCACCAAAATCCCCGGCAACCACCTGCAGCTTCGCTCCCTTCCCCCAACACCACCCGCAGCCTCACTCTCTTCCCCCAAAACCACTCACAGCCCCCACCTTCGTTCTTCTCTTGAAACCACCATCAAGCCACCATTTTCACCCCTAACTTCTCCCGCAACCATTGAAACTCCAGCCCTCTTCGCCAAAACCCATTTCTAGCGGATCTAGGCGGAAAAGAAGATAAGGAGGGAGGTTGGGGTGGTTTCGCGAGCGGGGAAGCAAGGGGGAGGGTGGTGGTTTCGCGGATGGTTGGGGGTTGGTTTGAGGCGATTTCGGGGTGGGGGGAAGGGAGGGGTAGTTTCGGGGTGGGGGAAGGAAGGTGGTTGTTTTCGTCGGAGAGGAAGGGGAAAGGGGAGGTTTCTGGCGAAGTGGCGGCAGATTCCGGCTGGGCTAGGGGATGGGGGTGGTTGGTAGGGAGGAGAGTTTTTTTTTTTTTTTTTAATTTTTCAGTTTTTTAATTTTTAGTTTTTCTATTTTTTCTTAATTAATTTGATTTTATTTATTTATTTTAATTTTTTGAAGCAATTAACATGTGACAGGTGTCTAAAAAAAATTTTTTTTTTTTAACCCTTTCATCAGGTTACCGGTTTTTGGGATTGAAGAATGATAGACCACCTTAAAGTTGGGGTTAATAAAAATAAATTGGTCAAAATTGGGATTAAAAAATGATATTAATCCTAATTAAATATGTTTGCTAGTTTGCTATTATATCCATTCCATTATTTCATGCGTATTGATCTTTTTACTTTGATCAACTTTGACTCACAAAACGATTTTATGTGAAAAGTCAATATATATTGGAGGGAGTAATAATTATGATTAGATCCACTAGAATCACACAATAAGCATCGGGTTGATCAAAAGGCACCCCAAAGCCCATATGAAATAAGGCAGCCAGCCGCATAGTAGAAACTAGCTAGGTCGGGCAATTGAAGTGTTCTTCAACAATACGAAGTATTTAATTACTCCATATTATTTATACGTACTTATACTAGTTGTGTTATGTAACTATGACACAACTCAAGTAGAGAGATTATAACTAAAGTTGAGTCATTGAGGTAGTAGAGTAGTGACATCGTTGCCCATCTCAATTCTATGAGGGTTAGAGTTTAAATCTCATGTAACTCAGATCATTTGAGGGATTTCTCTTATTTCCTCCCTCAAGTTAATTTCCTTCTAACACGTGCTTTAAGTAGCATGTTTTCTCCTTACCTATGCTTCCATTGTCACATTTCCAAAATTGGCAATTTGAAATATGGCCTTGTTTGACAATCTGGATGTTGCTTGTCGACTATTGGTTGTTTCTCTTGGCTGATTTGACCAGCTGTTTGTATTGACTTTTTATGTTGGCTATTTGATTGTTGGCCTGGCTATTAACAAATATATTTGGTAAAGTTGGTTGTTGGCTGCTGGCTATTTTAAGGACATTGGTGCATTTTATTATTATTATTATTATTATTATCATTATTATTATTATTATTATTGGTTTTCTTTGTATAATTATTATTATAAATTTTATGTATGATAAATATTATAATTTGACAACAATAATAATTATTAGTGTCATGTTATGGTATATGCGTTATGACTTAACAGTGTTATATATGGGACATGGCCATCCAATATCTAATGTAGCCAAACTTTAATTTATAAATAGCTTCTCTGGTTAGTTTAATCATCACATAATTCACATTCCAAACTTCTCACAATTCAAACACCCTAGCCTACCATGCATGATGTTTATATTAACCTTAATAATGCTATAAGATATCTTGCACATTGAAGAAATTATGAAATTTCTAATCAAAACAAACGATTCAGGTGAGGGAGAAAAATCTTCAAAAGATGCAAAAGGAAAATCAAGAGTTGAAAATAACATTAAACAAAACATATTACTCCGTAACAAGCAAGAAACTTATCGCATGAAATTGCTTCATTATTGTATTACCATGCTCAACCAAAACAACAGAATAATAAAGAAAAAATTACCAAGCTAATAAAACTTATATGCTAATGTCAACGAATTAAACAACATGATCAGTTTTTTTTTTTTTTTTCTTTTTTTTGTAGGATGGCAAGTTTAAAGAAAATTACAATACAATGAAATCACATTATTCACATAATGATGCAGCCTGCAGGACTGTCTTCATAATGAGTAGTGTACAAGTAACATTGAGGTTGATTTGCGCCGCAGTAATTAGGAGGTGGATAATAATTTGGGGGATAATGATGATAATTAACAACTGTTGGTTCTACAGCTGCTGCTGCTGCTTCCGATTTCGCTCCATCTTTGTTTTCCTTGTTCTGTTCTGCTTGCTTCTGATCTCCTCCTTCTGCTGCTGGTTTTTTCTGTTCTTCTGCAGGTTTCTTTTCTTCGGGTTTTACGTCTTTCTTGTTTTCTTCCGGCTTTGGATCTTTGATTTCTTCTACGCTCACCAAGTTAGCATCACCTAGTTTTTTCCTTAACGCCGTGCATAAACCAGCTGAATCCACCCGATTTCCAATCACAACAATCTCGTCCCTGTCGTTCCCCTGTATGGCTACTGATATCACCCCTGCATCACAGTACATAATTCTTTTGGTACATTATTACATGATCCACCGTATAAGACCATTAGACGGTGTAAGAAATCTTACCTTCTGCACTAGCAGCAATCTTCATCGCCTTTTTCCTGCATTTTCCACACCGCATTTGTACTTTAACCACAATCTTTTGCTGAAAAAATTCATGTCGATCATTGAATCAACTTCTATCGAAATTAATAGGAAAAATAGTGTACACACTTACATCTTGTAACGATTATTAGTAGTAGAAGGTGTAGAACAAGAAATTATTAACTTACCTTCATTTTTTTTGTGGTAATGTAGTAATTTATAAATCTTCTAGTCGAAAATTAAGCTAGGAACTTCTGTAAGTTTAGATCTAATTAAGATTAGTAGAATTTTAGGGTACAATATATTAACAAGGTTGGCATGAACGTTTGCTGTGTTGTGAAGTTGTGGAATTTAACTCGCATTCTAGAACATAATTCTCCACGTTCTAATAGAAGACTTTGTAGATTTGGAACATTATTATATAAAATGGCATGTACTTTGTTGCATTATGTGGAATTTGGAAATTATAATTTTATTAAGAAGTGATGTAAAATGAACTGTAAATGAGGCAAGTAGCAAACATGCTAAGATGTTATATAATCTAATATATATAAGGCCAATTGACTAAGTAAATAAGAATTAGAAGTCAACCTCCAAAATATTATTTACTACAATAATTCTTATATAGCTCACCAGTACACATTAATGACGTGTAGTTCTAATCAAGTTGATCTCATTACAATTACCTTGTTCGTTTGAAAATAGTTGTTATGTTATCCAATTCTTCATAAATAAATAAGATTATTCACGCAAAATAACCCAAATATATAGAGCGTGTGGGAACTATATATACCATTGTCTTCATTTAGAGTAACATTATTATACTGCTAAAGGTGACATGTTTAAGAAGATTTTAGTTAAAGAATGGTAAAGACCTATATGCTCATTCTTGGTATATCAATGTAAGAAAAGTGGATTTTAATTTGTTATATCATCACTTGTGGCTCAAATGCATAGACTTTTAATAATTTATTTTGTCTCATTATATGTTGGTTGTATATTAGTAGACTTTATTTTAAACAGATTTACTTTGAATGGTTATGCTACTATAGAGAATGAAATTAATATTAAGAATGTTTCTTAATAAAAATTATCTATTTAAGAATCGTGACTTGGTAAACTTAGGGTGTTATCAAGTTGGTGCCAGAATCCATGATTTTAAAACAGGATAGGCACAATTATAAGAAGTATAAACTATGAATTTTAATTATAATGAAAAATGTACAATTGAAAAAGACAACAACTTAATTGATAAAAAAGGACAATATTATGATAACATGCAATCTCAAAGGCAAAAAATATAAATCCAATTACTCCATAATAAAATTATTACACAAAAAATAAGTACTAAGTGATGAATCTATCTACATAGTAAGCTACAACTCCTACAAGTAAACATATGCAATAGAAAATAGTAAAAATACACTTTGAATCTATCTACATAGTAAGCTACAATCTCAACTATTATTAAAAAATTAGGATTATTAAAGTCAAAGTCAGGGCATAGTTAGGATTATTAGCTACAATGGAAGCAAAGTCAGGGCATAGTTAGGATTATTAAAAAATTAACCTTACTTGAGATTATTAAAAGTAAATCGACAATAGTTGAGATTATTAAACTGTATTTTTTCTAGAAAATACGAATTAAACTTCATTTAATAGTAATTTGAAAAAATACGTTCCGAAAATATTGATTTAGAATTAGAGTGTAAATTAAACAAAGAATACCTTATCTTGTAGGATAGACCCAAAATATATTGGACTAAAACTCCATTAAAATTGCACAATAACAAAGAGGAGAGAAGTGGAAAATCATTAGAAAATATGAGAAAACGAATTCTAATGTTTACCGTATGGAAAACATCACATAACCTTATTTTGTTTTCACTCAGCCTATTTTAATTTAGATTTTTTATATTATTATTATTATTATTATTATTATTATTATTAAATAACAAAAACCTACAAAGTCAAAAGATTTACAAGAAATTAGTGGGGAGCCGAGATACAATCTGGGCCCCCACCCCTCTAGCTATAGCGAACCCAATCCTGTTAAAGATGTGAGCAGCCGCACGAGCTCCAATATCCTGAGTCCTAGCGAACGCCTGAACCCGCTTCAGCAACGCAACGGCATCCTTCTCTAATTCCCCCAATGAAGAAAAGGATAAAGGAAGAAAACCATAGCCAATAGCCCTGCAACGCGCCCCATACTTGTCTCGCTTCCGCTGAGCCGCAGCCGACATAACACGACCAGGAACGAAGTCAGACAACCCAGATTGAGTCAATGGAGAAGACCCCGTCAAGTCAACACATACATCTAGGCCTCTATCCCAGGAGTTAAGCAACACATCTGCTGGCCGAAGAGCCCCGTCGTTCCCTCCAGTTAACCCAACGTTGACCTCCTTCCTTGCAGAAATCCCAGAGCGGAAACAAATATCAACAAGGGTATCACGAACAACGTTATGCCGATGTTTAATACCCACCATCCCAGCACAAGACACTGCATGATCCCCATAAATATCCCCATCAAAAACTCTTGAGCAAGCAGAACAAGGTGCCGATACGGAGAACAAGGGAACACCCAACCGGTAGCAAAGAACACAACGGTAAGTCTTACCATTCATAGTCTGACCCAGACCTGATATCGGGACCGCTCGCAACCAGGCAGAAGAGTAATCCCCCTGCTGGGACTTCCATAAGGCAACCTGACGCGGAGACAAGGAGAAAGTGGATTCTGCAGATGCAGTGACCTTCGTGAAATATATATCTGCCAATTTCTTCATGAGTTTGGGGGCAGCGATCTCACCAGGGTAACGCAAAAGGTCAGTCTCCACAGTCCTATTAAAAAGACTAAGAGCGTCGTCGAAGGCCGGACCTGGACCAACAATACCAGAATTGCGAAGAAGCGAAGCCTGTAGACCAGAAGACTGCAAACGCGACGCAAGGAAAGCATAGTGTCGAACATCACCCGCTGAATAGACACCCAGTCCTCCATAAGAAAAAGGTAAGGTGGCAAGGCGTCATTGCCAATCACCAAAACCTGGCCCCGAAGCAGTTACAATGCGCTCCACAGAACCTCGAAGGGCCACATCAAAAGAAATCTGGGTCGCTTCAAAAAGACGAGGAGGACAAGTGCGCATAGAAAAGTAGAGTTTTGAAACTCCAGTACACGCACGAAGAAGTAATAACTCACATTGGGGATCCTCAAGCTTAGCAACAGCATCCATGAGCACAATGGTCTTCGACACCCTCTGCGAAACAAGCTCACCACAGAAAGAGGCATCCGCACTGACAGGACCCCCAAGCAACTTAACACCATGAGGAGGACGAGCAATATCTGGAGGAAAGACACCGGCCAGACGGCTACGAGGGTCCTCCGTGGGCCAGAAAAATTCCGTTTTCTCAACGTTAACATGGAGATCAAGACGAGGTCCCTCCACCAAAATCAACTCCATAACCTTCCCTACCACCAAGGTGTCACCAATAATAGTGTCATCATCCAAATACCAAGCCTGCAAACATAAGTCAAAAGAATCCCTAATTTGACAAACCAACGGATGGAGCACCAAAGCAAAAAGCAAAGGGCCAAGTGGATCACCCTGCTGCACACCCTGACATGACCTTAAGGTATGCTCCCCATAATAGAGCCTGGCTGGAGTAGAGTAACAGAATTCAACCCAACGCGAAAGAGCTGGACAACGGAGACGAACCTCACGCAGTAAAGCTGTACGATCAACCAAATTAAAGGCATTCCGGAAATCCACCAGCAACATAGAGAGGCCAACATCACCACCTCGAGCCTCAACCAAACGATTAACAGCATGAAGAATAGCCTCGCCACCCACCGGCACCCCAACACCAAACTGAAGACCTCCTAAATAGTTCCCCATACGCGGACCAACTAAAGCAGCCCCAACCTATGAAACCAGACGCCGCCAAACAGTACCCACAGCAATAGGACGAATACCACTACCAGGCTTAACAAGTGGCGTGAGAGGAGCACTAGCAATATACTCCCCCAACTCAGCAGGACAATTTCCTGCGAGAAAGAGATTAACCACCTGCGTAATAGAGCCCACCAACTCATTTGAAATAGCAACCGCAGCACCACTCAAGCAATCCAGAAGGTGCTGAGCACGCAAGCCGTCTCTACCGCATGACGTACCACGCGGAAAACCCCTAATTTGATCCAAAACAACAGCAGATGTAGCAATAAGGGGCTGATCAACGGGGATATCCGGTAAGATAGGAGCCGGAAAGGAAGGGTGCTTAGCTTGTAAATCAGCAAGAGTAGCATCATTGTAAGGGGCAAGACCAGAAGACGAAAGAACCCGAATCGCAGCAGTGTAATGTCCGTCACAAATCTTTCTCTTACATTGCTTAATATTTCGCTCAGACAAATCATGCTCATCATCAGCTTCCAACAAAGGAGGAGACACATCTGCCAACGTATCTCGCATAAGATGCACAGAACCACCAGGCTCACACCAAGAACGAATAGCAGCGGTGATACTCTCTTCCTGCCGCCGCCGCCGGACACCCGAAGAACACTCACGACTACTCCTCAGGGTAAAAGTTTTAAGAACACAAAGAGGCAACACAAGTAGTTGAACCCAACAAGAGACGTCATCAGGCTTGCAAATCACCTTATCAAGCGCTCCTTTGAGAACCCGAGAAAAACCCAAGCGACACTTTGGAGGAATAGATTTCACCGAACGGAACCGCTTAGATAGCAAACTATCCAGGAGAGCAACATCGAACGCCAAAAGAGGCTGACGATGCGCACTAGAAACAAGATCAGATACCTCCGAAGAAAGACCCTAAGGTTTAGGAAAACCATAAAGAACAAACCGAACAACACCATCCCCCAAATCAGGTGGGTCCACAATATCATCCGAACCACGACCATGTCGACACTTCGTACGAAAAGTATGAGTCTTGAAATACTCCCCACAAAGCCAAATGCCCATACGCCGAAAAGTTGACTCCGCCTCTAAGAAAATAGCCAGATTAGAAGCAAGAGAGCATCGGGTCATATCCCGCGCATCCGCACAACAATGACGGTCACGGAGATGAGTGATCAAAGAAGTTTTAGTGAGCCCATTACCCCTGCCATCTTGACACCCATTAAGACCCACGAACGGGCAATGAAAGAGAACACTAGGAGGCATAACATCCACCACAACTTGCCACAAGAGAACCGCAATACAACACAACGCAAACTGCACCAAAAACTAACCAAAAACTGCACCCAAGAAGCACTAGAAACCGCCTAGCAACTGCAGCCAAGAAGAACACACAAGAACGCAACTGAAACAGCCCGGAAACTACTCCGAAACCACCTGAAAAAAGCCAACAGAAACTGCCCGGAAACCGCTAGAGGTACTGCAGCAAAACAACCCTATGAAACCGCCTAAAAACCGCACCTGATCAACCCAAAATCAGACCATAAAAAAGTCCTGAAAACAGATGCCGCGAACCACTTAAATACTGCCTGAAAAACGGCTGTAATCGCCGGAAAAGAGAAGCCCTCGCCGGACCTACAAACGCCTGGTTAATGATCGCAGAACCAGCCTGAAAATGAACGTGGAACGAGCTTGAATTTCGCCCATAAACTGCCCTCGAATTGTCCTGAAATTGCCCAAACAATGAAGCCCGAAACAGCCTGAATTTCGCCCCAAAAGAACCGAGGAAACCGCCGGAAAAAAGCCTGACCTGAAGGCGCCGACACCGAGCACCGCCGCCTGATATTAAAGGACTAAAAGCCGCCGGAAAAGCTGCCGGAAACCCCCCCTACGCCCAGCCCTAATCGCCAACGATAAATTTATAAATAAAATCGAAAATATGTGCTCTTATAATAATATAAACTTATACTTATTCCAGTTTAGAATATGATACAATTCAATTCATGTTAAAATTATAAACCGCTAAGATCCTGTTTGGTGGTAGCGATTAGCGTTTTGATCAGTCAAATCACTATTAGAAAAAAATAACAGTGTTTGGCAAGGTAGCGGTATGAGTAGTGGTTAGCGGTAGAGGTAACGTTTAGATAGCTATCTCAAACGTTAAAAATAGTAGGGTTTAAGAGTAGTAGGTAGCGTTTGTTACTTTTTGCCTACTTTTTTTTTTTTTAACAATTTATATGATTATTAATATATTTTAGTATTGCAACCGCTACTTTTGCCAAACACTCATACTATCGATCGTTACTTTGACAACTAACCTCTACCCACTATTAAGACAGCTACTCGCTACCCTAACAATTACCCGCTACTCGACCGCTAAAAGTTACTCGCTACCGCTAATTTTACCTAACAGGGCCTAATTTCGATTGATTTTGCTGACGTAGATGGTGTACAGGGAATCTTTATAAAAAATAGAGTAATTTTATGGAATTTTTGTTTGTTTAAGCAATTTTTAGGAAATCACTTTGTTAATATTTTATTATTATGTATTAAAAAAAAAACATTTAAGATTGTCAAAAGCTCAAAGCAAGAACACATTAAAATAATATTTAAAAATTTAATAATGTCTGAGCCCGGGTTCGAACCGGGGACCTCTAGTGTGTGAGACTAGCGTGATAACCGACTACACCACCCAGACTTTGTTGTTAATTTAGACATTGATATTACTATAATAACAATTAATATTTTCATTTTGAAATTTAGACAGAAAAATAGCGGGGTTTTTTCGCTCTACAACAAACTTGAATATAAAAACCCCAAATTAATTTCCAGAAAACCCTAGCAATTTACAAAAACTCCACCAAATTTCTGATCAAATTTCACAAAACTTTCTCTCTCCTCGACAAAAATGGCGATTGAGAAGAGACCAGTGTGTGAAGAGAACGACGAGCTGGTTGCGTACATGCGAAAATGCCGGACAGAAAGGATGGAGAAAAATCCCCAAGCTCACACCCAAAATATTGAGAAAACTGTTAAAAAAGCTCTCACTAATGTTTGTGATCATAAAACCCCCATTACTACTCTCAAGGAATTTCAAGCAATTAAGTGAGTTTATTTTTTTTAATCTCAAATTTTCTGTCTAATTTTGTTATAATTATTGTTTCTTTACTGGAATTTTGATAATTGAAGTTTAATTTTAGGAATGGTTCTTAGTTTGGGTGAAATTTGGAGGCGGGTTAGGATAATTTCATGAATCGTGTTAGTTTAAGTGAATTTTTGGAACTTGGTTTTGTTTAAATGTATAATTTCATGAATGGTTTTAGTTAGGGTAAAATTTGGAGGTGGGTGATGGTTAATTTCATGTATGGTTTTAGTTAGGGTGAACATTTCGAGTTGGGTTGAGTTTTTAGTTCATGAATGTTCTTGGTTAGGATGAAATTTTGAGGCGGGTTAAGTTTCATTTCATAAATGGTTTAAGTTAGGTGAGATTTTGAGGCGGGTTTAGTTTCATTTCATGAATGGTTTTTAGCCAAAGGAAATTTGGGAGGTGGTGAAGTTAAATTTCATGAATGTTTTAGTCAGGGAAAAATTAAGGGCTGTTGGGAGATGGGTGAAGTTTAATTTTTGACAATACTTTGTTTGCTTTTCCCCTCTTAATACTTGTGTGGTCTTTTTTTTTTTTTGAAAAAATTGGCTAGGGGTATTGGGAAATGGCTTGCGAATGAGATGCGAGAATTTTTCAACAGTAATTCTAGTGCTTCTCAAGATGATAATTTGGCAAAAGGAGGTACTGTGTTCTTTTTTAGCCTTTTGTTTTTTAGTTGAATAATGGTGTGAGTTATGTTGATAAGTTTCTTACTATATATAGAGAGGAAATTGCTTATTAATATTACTGATTGATCCAGGTAAGAAGGCTAAAGGCTCCAGAAGGTATTTACCGCAGAAAAATTCTGTTGCTTATGCATTATTGATTTCCTTACATAGGTATGGTCATACTTTTGATATATTAGAATGCTCTTGAAAACTAACTTTGTTAGTTATTTGATTTCATAGATTTTGCAAGCCATACAATAATATTCACATTGGTGTTGGAAAGGATTCATTTTCTTCTAAGGCTTCGTTTGTTCTAATGGAAAACATTTTAGTCAACATTCATTTTTCATGGATAATAATCAGCAAGAATAAACACAATTGTAAAAAGGTTTTGCTTTGTTATTTTTGTTAAAATAAAGTTAGAGAAAACGGAAATGGAAGTGGAAAGGAGAGGATAGATGTGAGGAGCAAAAAAAAAAAATTGTAACGGAACAGAATGCAACATTCCTTCTTTACAAAAGGAAAATGTTTGCCACCATGGAAAAGTTATTCTCCACTGTTAGAAAAATTGTGTTCCACCTCTTAACAATACAAAACAACGGAATATGAAAACATTATTTTCCTAGAAAATATTTTTCCTCTATAAAAATGGTGCCTTAAAATTTGTTTGGTTTTCATTCTACACTAAAGAGATAAGTGGAATTTATTGAGCTTTTAGTATATTCTTGCAAAGTAGACTCACTTCCTGTGTTTTTCCTCATTAGGGCAACTACTAATGGAAAAGAATTTATGCATAAGCAAGAGCTGATTGATGCAGCTGAAGCTAGTGGTCTCTCACGAGTGCCAATAGCGTATGATGATCTGATTACCCTGTTTCTATTTTTCTTGTTTTGTAAACTATTGATACTCCTTATGTCTGGTTTATGTTGAATTTACTCTTGGATGGCTTTTAAGGAAAGGCATCAAACCTTATGGTTCATTTGGTATGTACTTAGGCCAGAAGCGGGCAGAGGTAAGCAGAAGCAATTTGGAAGTTCCCCTAGGGATTGGTATAGTGGATGGAGTGCAATGACGACATTGATTGGCAAAGATCTTGTATATAAAAATAGTAATCCTGCAAAGTATGACTTCTATTCTTTTATTCCTTGCAATTATTTATATTTATATACTATGCTTATTTTATGTATATATGATTTTGCAAAGCTTCTCTGAGGGCCTTAGTCAATTCGTTTTAATTGCTCTAGTCATGGAACAGAACTAGCTGCTGGTTTTATATGATGTTTTTCTCTTGAAAATAATTCATCATTTTTAGTTGTCTCTGTGGAAATGGATTGACTCTATATAGCTGAGTCTTGTGCATTTTGTGGTTACTATCATGTGTACTGTATTCTATTAGACTGTAATATGACTTGTATTGTTGGATTTGTCTTGATGCTTCTGCTGGTTATGAATGTCAATGCTATAGAAGATATCATTTTTTATAAAAAAGTTGTGTGTGTGTGTGTGTGTGTTTTGTTGCCATATCAAATAGTTGGCTTAAGCACCATTTTGTTTGGCAGACACATTTGCAGCTGTCTAACCTCGAATGTTGATGACCCCTTCTGCTTTGGCACATGACTTTCTTTCTTGATATAGGCATCTCAAAAATGATTAGTATGTTAACTAGCATTTATATGCAATTGATACTTGATTTGTATTTGTGTCAAAGTTGAAACCTGAAATCCCAATTAGTGTGATGTATTAGTTTGGCACTTGGGCCCTGAAGGTTATGGGCGAATGTAGTGCAAAAAGAGCAAAGAAGGAACTAAGTAAAGCTGAGAGAGAAGCATGAAGTAATTTGGCCATGTTTTGATGCATAAGGCAATGTTAAATTGTTAGGAAAGCATATTGTTGCGGCTTTGATATGCTTGGGTTCTTGGTTTTATTAGCTGCCTATTTTTATTAGGAATGTTATATATTATTTATAGATATTACTAGAAAGTTTGAAACATTAGTTTGTGTATAATAAGGAAATAATTTATCATTAACCAATTCATGAAAGATATGAGTATTCCGTTTTGGGATGTTTTACAATACATGCATCGTATTTCTATGATGAAATTTATCAGGTGAAATTACTTTACTTCCCACTATATAAGTGGAGACCATTTCACATTTGTAACTTTGTTGTACACTCTCTTTTTTAATTACATAAGCAATGCTGTCAAATTTTACCTCTTTTTCCACTCAGTTAGTTTGTGTGCAAAATGAACTGATGCATGTATTGAGAAACAAATTTGTTTGTATGTGTGTCTTACTTCTTAGTAATGTTGCAAAATCCCTGTTCTTTGCAGAAATAGGTTAATGCTAATCAATAAATATAGTTACAGGTTATAGTTTGTGGGTTATTGAAGTGCTTGTGTGATTGCATAAGGTGTAAAGGACTGTAAACATAGGTGTGTATGGGGGTGACTCAAGGGCGAGACGCCATAAGTTCTTAAATGGCTGGAGTCATGGAGGGTTCTCTGTGCATGTGTTTGGAATCTTTGTATAATTGATAACTATTTCATAACCAATCGTGGTGGAAGAGTCCGCCATATAAAATATTCTCACCATTGTTATTCTATATTTTTTTTTACCTTATTTCATACCATTCATGTTGAATAGAGATCTTCAATGGTTGGAACTAAATATGTGAATGTCTAGTATGTTTTGTATGCTAGGAGCTGGTGGCTGTATGCCTGTATATGCTTACAGCTGTTTTTTTAATTTTTCTTTTTTTGATCTTTATTGTACAGATATATGCTATCTGATGAGGGTCGTAAAGTAGCAATAGAATGTTTGTCTCGATCCGGTATGCTTGATTCTGCTGCAAATGTTATCAACACGAAAGAAGCTTTAATTTCAGATGATGAAGATGCAGAGATTATGGAGCTTGAAGCTGCTAGTTCACCCTCATCTCCTGATCTGAATAAGGGCATGAAAGATGATATTCCTTTGGAGTTTCTTGATAGGGTACGTTTTATTAATCTCATTTGGATTTTACTTCTCACTCAAAGATATTAAAATTATGCCACTTTTATAATTGCAATATCTTTGGTGCACTGCCACCATGTAATGGATTGTTTTGGCCTTGTGGGTATACTTTACCTTTCATTACTTTCTCTGGTAGATATCTGTTTTTGTCAATATTATGAAATTAGTTGTAATCATGGTGATAGTGTTGGCAGTAATAACTTATATGATGGCATCTTTTTGCATGTTTCATCAGTGAAAGTGTGAAAAGTATTCCCTTGAGGCGAAATTGCAGTCAACATAATTGAGGTTCATTATACGTAGGATACCTGTTAAGCTGCAAACATGCGGAATATTAGGTTGTGCTCATTAGTTAAAATTCATTTGGAGGCACCTACTCCCTGCATGCTGCATATTATGCACCTTAATTTAAATTTACACATTCTTTCCAATTACATTTACTTACTCTCTCTTTCCTCTACATAAGATTACCCACTATCTTCAATCTATGTACCTTTTTATTCCACTAGCAATACAATTCCCACTATCTTGCTATTTTCCTATGATGAAATTTTTGCAGGACACATTGAGTACTAGATTGATCAACTTTATTTTGATTGTCTTGGAGTACACTTGAAAAATCTGATGAAATTTATTTGCTTGTTTTTGATTGAGCTTAAGTTTAGTTGTAAAATGAATTTGGTACCCCTTATACTCATTATTGGTTCTTATTAGAACTTAATTTATGATTTAATTATTTTTCATGATTTTTTTAAAGGTGAAAGAAAAAGGCCTTAGAAAATCATAATAACATGAAAAAGTATAGGTTTGCGAACGCAAACAACTTTTCTAACTTCTTGTATTTAACCCTTTTCCTATTCATTGATTCTCCAATTTGTTTGGGGACATGTAAATGTCACAGTGCATTGTGACACCCTAGTTATTATTAATCTTACCAAGAGCTCATTAACTGAAATTACTCTATCATTGTACTATAACCTTAATCTAAATTTATTTGTATCATATTCCTTAACACCAAGATTTGATTCATACATGCCACATCCATAATCTACATTGCTTTTGGAGGATTGAGCTATAGGCTTGCAGTGATGACTTTTTTTTGAGTCGGGGAATCTGTAAATCTGTAATGCTCCAAGTAACTCATTGGTTGTGAGAAGTTTAGTTTGCAGCTTTATCAAGCACTTGGTCCTTTTAACTTATAGCAATATTATGCTAGGTTTTTTTGATCAAAGTTGAGAATCTTCTCCAAGAAATGTCTCATTTGCTTAAAGTAGATCATGTCTTACAACAAGTTTTAGCTCAACCTGCTTAGAAGACTTTGTTTATCAATTGTGTGTAAATATTCCAATTATTGTGATGATAGATTTGTATTTTCTCCATTCTGTTTTAGTTTTACCATATGTTTTTTGGGATGTTTGACATTGTTTCTATCATTTTCAGTTTTTGTTATGTTAATATGTTATTAATGGCAACACTATCCTATACTTACCCTATTTATTATTGTCTCTCTCCTAATTTTTTGTAACTCACATGTGTGGGTTTGTTTGTCACTTCAATTAGTCTATTGTCTCTCCCCTTCTTTTTGGCACTGACTTGGATGGGTGGTTTTTTACTACTTGCCTTGAGATTTGTCCTCTTCAACAGAGACAAGGTGTTATGTTCTGATTTTATTAAGGTCTGGTTTGAATCTGGTCTGATTTGATCTTATCTCATGGTTTGAATTAACATCAACTGTATCTTTACATCAAGTACAAGAAAAAAAATCATCTAGTGGGATCCTATTAGACTTGTCCCAGTTTGTATAAGTAAACAAATAGTAGAAGTTCTAGTTTGAATATTTTTTGGTCTGATTTGATCTTGTTTGATTCTTGTAAGTATAAATAATAAGTTTATCTGTTTATGAACTAAGTTGAAAAGAACAAGTTCTTAATAAAGTAGCTCAATGAATGTTCACGTACACTTGTTTATGAGTACAATGAATCCAAACTTATGAAAGCATAGTTAGAAAAATTTATTTAAGCTGGACTGTGAAAACGACTTTCAGGCTCATCAGTGAGCATGATAACTTTGTTATTAGCTCATCAACATTGGGGATTGATGGTTTTTGATTTTCTCAAGGGGGTCAATATTTTATTTGTTCTGTGTTTCTTCATTTTCTATTTGATGTAATTATAAGGCAAACTCTTCTATTTTGTCACTACCATAATTTTGTAATAGAGACTTGGCTATATTTTTGCGTATGGACTCTAAGTTGAAGATCACCAGTAATAGCTTTGTTTTCTGTGAATCTAGATTGAATCTGGATTTTGTGTTTAATGTGCTATGTTATATGATAATTCATGATTGAACTTTTGGATGCAAATGTAAAGCATGATACTTGACAATCCTTCCCTCCACCTAACAAAAAAAAAGGGGGTGGCTGCCTTTTGTTTTCAGCAAAAGAAATAATGTATCGCTGTCCTGTAATTTTGCGTTTGTAGTTCACAGCCCTGGGTTACACAAGTGAACAAGTTTTACATACTTTAGCTGAAGTTTCTGTAAGTCCACCAACTCAAGAATTATCTACACTCTGGCCCACAGTTCTTTGCCATCTGCGAGAAAATGAAGTTTATGGTCTTCCCTCTGATCCTCAGCCAACTGGAAGAAAAAATTCTGATGATGCATCTACTAGCTGTAGATATGTTGAGGGTAAAGTGCCTTGAAAGCCATATTATAAATCTTGGATTTTGGAGTTTTTATATCATTGATCTTATTTGCATCCCTAATAATTCAGCAATCAAATTTTTACTGTTATTTTTGTTTTGTTTTTCCTCCATATTCTTTCTTGTTGCAGGTGAACATAATGTGACTGGTGTAATTAATCAAAACGGTCTTACTTCCTCATCAACCTTGGTCAGTAATCAATCAATTTACCTTTTTTATAGAGGATTGCTGAAAGCTGTCAATTCCACATGCATGTTTATCTCTAAAAAACTATTAGAAATTAAAAGCAAGCAACTATCTTAATTTTTCATGCTGAGTTTTTCCTTCTGATTTTTGGATTTTATTTGGACACTGTGTTTATGCCTTTTTGAAGTGGATGGGCTAAACTTCTGGAGTTATTAAAATTGTAGGAGGCATATTATCTTTTTGCTGCATTTGGTTTCTATTGGCTGTATGGAAATTCTATTGCTACTTCGGATACTACTAATTTTGTGAATTTGGTTTTCGTCACCTTTTCTATTTGACAATGTTATAGGATTATCATGGAAAAAAGGCTAGTCAATCTTCTTACCAAGCCAGTCCAGTTGATCTTAGACTGCCACCACTTGAAGATTTGCAGAAGTTCGAAGATACATACGAAATTGTCTTGATTTTGGATGACCGAGAACACTTTGCCAGGTGGGTCACTATCTCTTTTGTATACTTCGGGCTGTGACTATGTATTCCTGTACAATCTCAGTTTTGTTCCAATTTTACGTCGTGGTGGTTTTGGCTTCTTTCTTCCTTTTGATTGTATGTTGTATCTTCATGATTAAATTATTGGTCATTAGTCATTACTATTAAGGCTCCATTCTCCTCATCTTTTAAGTTTAGATAAGATAAGATAATATAAGGGCTAATATATCTAGATAAGATAAAATTAGACAAGAACTGAAAAGTTCAGATTTTATAAAATTAGGGTTAATAAGTTTCAATAAGGTATAACAAAACCTCAAGTCATTGGATTTGGGCTTCTAAGAAGGAGCACATTAAAAAGATGGAGGTTACGGAAATGCGAATGTTAAGGTGGATGTGCGGGAACACTCTAAGAGATAGAATCAGAAACGAGGTTATTTCGCAAGAAGGTAGGTGTGGCAAGCATTGCAGACAAACTAAGGGAAAATTGTCTGCGATGATTTGGGCATGTAAGACGGAGACCTGAGGGTGCACCGTATGAAGGGTGGAAGGGTGGGACCATGGAGGGATCAAACGAGAGAGAGGGAGACCGAAAATAACTTGGTTGGAAAGAGTTAGGAAGGATATGAAGTTTTTGGATTTGTACGAGGATGAGGCATCGGATCGTAAGGGATGGAGGAGGAGGATATTTGTCGATGGTTACACGGAATAATCAAATTTGGTTCATGTAGCCGACCCCACTTATGGGATTAAGGCTTTGATTGATTGAATAAGGTATAACAAAACCTCATTATAAGGTCTAATAAGGTTGAACTAGATAATACAGTATAAGATAAGATATTATATGGACTAATAAGTTTAAATAAAATGAGGGTTAATAAGTTTAGATAAGATAAGTTTAAGGCTAATTAGATGAGATAAACCTCCTCCATTTCTTTTTACTCGCAACCCTTTGACTTATCACTGTTCATATACTCTTCTTTAACTTTTTTGAATGATATATAGTTTAAGAAATAGTCATGTGGGAGTTAGTTAAATTCGCCTCATTCATGAATGAAATAATACATTGGCAAGCGTGAAATGAGAAGTGTTCCAAGTAAAAAAAAAAAAATGAAGTATAAGTCTATAAGATAAGTGAAACTCAGATGAAGAGAACACACTTAATTTCCAAGTAAATTTTTTTTGCTCATAATGTTTTTTCTGTGGGTGAATCAGTTAGTAGCAGACATGCATATATACTGTACCCTCATTGCTGATTTCTTCCTAGTTTCTTAATTGTATGATTTATGCACTTGCTGCTTGTTAGTCTGATTTGTCTTTTATGGTTTCAGAACAAAGTCAAGAAATCTTAAAGAAAAGATTTGTGAGGAATATAAAATTCAAATAGAGGTAAATGTTTGCTTCTTAATATACCTGTATTTTTGTCCAACTGTCATACATCATGTTCCGTTTCTCACTTCAGGTGTTCTGAGATTACACCCTCTTACAAAATTATACTTTCTCCGTCTTTTATAGTTGCACAATTTGACTTTTACACCTATTCATGTGTTCCACTTTCACTAGCTTTGATGATTTATAGCTATGCGAAAATATAGTCATGTGGGATCTTGTTAGATTCGTCTCGATTTATACTATTTTAATATCAAATGTTTATAATGTTTACATAATGGTAATTAAAGATATTAACGATTGAAATTATGCATTGGCAAGCGTGAGAAGAGAAGTGTTGCAACTATAAAAAAAACAGAGTAAGTATCATTCTTATTGTTTGAGTTTTTTTAGTTCACCACAATCAATTCTAACCTAGTTAGTCCTCTTTTGGTGATGAATAGTTATCAAAGATAGTTTAACAGTACTAATTGCATCTCTCTATAAAAGCATTACTTTAAAAAATGGGAATAGTTGATCGCATTTCCCTAGTTTTTTGCTCGTCTTGATCATTGAGCTTGATAGGGTCTTATTGAATAAGAATTGTGGTGCAGTCAAAAGTAAATAAGGAAGTGTAGAAATGATGCTATTGGTGGTGATTAGGTGGTAGTCTGAACTTGTGTCAGTATGCTCGAATCAATCAATCAATCAAAGCCTTAATATCATAAGTGGGGTGTCACTATCTTTGAATGCGGTCCTATAAATTTTCTTATTAGCTAGATAATTTTGGAGAATGTGGTGGACGTAAATTTCAACTCTTGGTGCATCTTTTTTTTCCTCGTTCGTTAATATATCGCTCTTGGGTATAATAAAAAGTACAAGGTCAACTTGGTACACTATTAGAAAACAGGTCATTTTTCCGTCGGAATCACCCTGAAATCCGTCGCAAAACCCGTTTCCGACGGAATTTCCGTCGGAACCGGTTGTCGGAAGCCCTTTTGTAGGAAAAACAACCTTTGCCGATGGAATTGTTTTGTCGGAAGAGGAATTCCGGCACCGGAAAGTCCGTCGGAAATTCTGTCAGAAACTGTTTAAAAAAAACAAAAAAAAACGCCTCCCACCACCCCCACCACCAGCCCACACCACCTGCTTAACCAGAACCCATCCACCAGACCCATCCACCAGACCCACCTTGAATTAAAACTCAGAAAAGCGAAAAATTAAAACATAAAACATACCTTGAATTGAAATGGGCTTTGAATTTCACCACGAAAACGATTTCATAAGGCCAAATTCGTCCATGAAAAGTCTAGATCTAGGCTTTTAATGGTCGAATTTGGCCTAAAAAACCTTCAAAATAATCAAAACAAAACTCGTGGTGGTGGTGTTGAATGCGCAGCGGCGGTGGTGGTGTTGGTTGCGCAGCGGCGGTGTTGGTGTGAGAAGGAGAAAGAGATGAGAGGAGAACTGAGTAGAAGAGAGGAGAACTGAGAAGGAGAAGAGAAATGAAGGAAGGAGAAGGAGAAGAGAGAGAAAGAGAGGGCGGAGGAGAGAGGAGAACTGAGAAGGAGAAGAGAGGAGAACTGAGAAGGAGAAGAGAGAGAAAGAGAGGGCGGAGGAGAGAGAAGGAGAGAGGAGAGAGAAGGGGGAAGAGGAGAGGAAAGAGGAGAGGAGAGAGAGAAAAGATCAGAGATGAAATGAAGGGGGAGGGTTGTTTTTTTTTTTTTTATATAATTAAATTCCGACGGAATATTCTGTCGGGAATTTCCGACGGAATAAAAATCCGTCGGAATTTCTGATTTTTTCGATGGAAATACGTGTCCGTCGGAAATCGGCCTATTTCTAGTAGTGTCAGTTCTTACTAATTAGCTGAAAGTCACTTGAAATGGATTTGGACATTTTTCTTTATTGGGTATGTCTCAAAAATTCTCTGACCTCCCATAGTGGACCGTAGAGATAATTTGTAAGTAATATGCATAGTTATACCAAGTGATCTTTGCAAACCTCAAAGATGCTGGCTCATTTGACTCCCTGCAGGTCAGACGTTTGCCCGTTGGAGATGCTATTTGGATTGCACGTCATAAAAAAGATTCCACTGAATATGTTCTTGATTTCATTGTTGAGAGGAAAAATGTTGATGACCTACGTAGTTCAATAAGAGATAACCGCTACAGGGATCAGAAGTTGAGACTTCAGGTATTCAGTCTAAAGAACTAACCCTTAAAGGTTCTCATGATTCCGTGGCGGGTTGTGATTATGAAAACTATGTTTTCTTAGTAAATTTCTCCAATCACTGAGTTCATTAATGTCATTGAAACTCTTTCCTCTTAGTCAGATCAATTGTGCTCTTTTTAGGTCATAATGTGCAGAGTGTACTTCATGGCTTGATGCATTTTGGTTTGTTATGGAATTTTGAATGTCTGATTTTTGTAATGATGCATTTACATTATTTTATTCAAGTGTGTGATTAGATTCAATATGCAACTGAGCTGATTATATATTAGCTTTTATCTTAGGAGTTGAACAAAAGAGGGCAAAGGAACAGTTTGAGGTCCTTATTATAAATGATTTGTCACGTAGTTATCCAGTTATTTAGTTTAAATAAATGGTAAGTGATTTTCCCTGCAGGAGTCTTAAATGTGTCAAGTTTATTAATGAGAATTGAGATACGATGTGGTTTTTAGAATTCATGTGAAGTTAAGTTGATAATTAAGCTTTCTCCAAATATATGCTTGTGTATCAATTTTTTAAATAATTTTGACAAAATTTATTTTAGAAAATGTGTCTTTGTATGTAAATCCTTTTTCTTGTATCTTTGAGAGCGATTTAGAAGTTGAATCCATGCTTCAATCTGTCTTCCAAATTGGCTTTATGATGTGAATCCTGTTGTAGTCTATTATATGTTAGTTTCAGATCTCTAATTATTTACCTAACTGATGATAATCAATGGACTGAAAAAGGTGGTGTCTTTGGCTTGTTTTTAATATTCTTCCTTTTTAAAAATCTTCCATTATTTTTTTCCTGTAAAAATAATAATAAAGGCAGCTTTAAGAACTTTTGGAATGTTTAAGAGAGCAATTTCTTTAGAGAGAAGCTTTGGTTGGTATCCTGCATTCTACCTATAGGAACTATCAATATCAGAACCATTCCACCCGTCTATTGATTTTCTGGTGATTCTCTTTTATTTGCAATCTCATGAGAATCTTCTCTTTCTGTTTCACTTTTGCCTATCTTTGGTTTCTGAATGACTGAATTCATCATATTGATTTTTTTTAAGAACTCTGATTATACTGGTATTGTATAATTCCCTAAGCCACGTAACATAACAATTTATTTTAGAATATATAATTATGTAAATATTTTCTTCAGTTTTTGGGTTATTTGATCTAGAATATAATTTATTTTAGAATATCTTTCTGGTTCACTTTTGCCTATCTTTGGTTTCTGAATGACTGAATTCATCATATTGATTTATTTTTAAGACCTCTGATTATACTGGTATTGTATAATTCCCTAAGCCACGTAACATAACAAATTATTTTATAATATATAATTATGTAAATATTATCTTCAGTTTTTGGGTTATTTGATCTAGATCTTGTTCTCATGTTTCTGGAACTTAACTGTTGTTTCAGAGAACTGGAATGAAGAAGATTATGTATTTGGTGGAAGGTGATCCTAATGCTTGTGAAGGAGCTGATAGCATTAAAACAGCGTAAGAATTTATCATTCTATATTCCTATGTGCATTTCTGCATATCCTAGAATGTGCATCTATGTATATACTACGTAGCATAATTGTCCTTCTCCCCCACTAGAAGTGAGCAGCTGATTGCTACTACTGGCACTTGGGGCTCTGGCCATAGATGAATTTGGCAAGGGTATTGGATAGTTTATCTTCATGTATTTCCATTAAGAAACACTTTTGCTGTATGACAAGACTGACAACTGCATGAACAATGAATATTGGAGTGTAGCTTGGATAGACAACTGATCTGGGTTGTCTAATTCAAAGCAGAACTGCCAATTTATGACTCATTTCCGCATTTCCACATTATAACAAGAAGAGAAGAAGATAGAGCAAAATATTAAATTTCTTGGACTCTACAGAATAGTTCTTGATTGCGACTTCACTGGCTTTTTGGTTTTCTGAGAGGAATGTCACAGCATCTTCAGCTACATGTGAAGCTTCATCAACAATGGTTACCTTCCTATAAGAATATTAATTATGATCACTGAGTTGTTGCTATTTTATCTATATCTATTTTATAAAAAAGGCTGCTGTTCTATGCTATCTAGAAGTTATATTGCACCTTTGTAGTGTGAAAGTTGCACTTAGATCGAATAAAAGAAGTTACTCTGGAATGTTTTACTCACTGGTTGTTCCGGCGCTGACGTGGTCTATAATTTTCGTTCATGTTTTACTTGATTATAATTTTCTGTCATGTTTTACTTTATTACTACGTATAATTTTCTCTGGAGGTAATATTTCCTATGTGTGAAATATGTATAAAAGTGCTGACAAGTGTTTCCTATTTGTGGTGTTCTTTAGTTGCTTTACTACAGAGATCTTGGAGGGGTTTGACGTGCAAAGAACAACAAGCCTTGTTGATACTCTTCACCGATATGGCTTTTTAACTCTGGCAATTACTGATCACTATAAACTGATTTCATCAGCTGAAGAATGCAAAACCGCGGGTGTCTGTCCTAAGTATAAACAGTTTATCAAAAAATGTGAAGATGCTGATAAACTGACGGTTAGTGATGTTTTTGCCACACAGCTCATGCAGGTGGGTTTGGCTGTAACTCGGACCTTTTTTCTTTTTTTATTCAGAGTTTCAGATTTCCTTTTTCAGCAACGTAGATTGTCAATATTATCAACTGAGCTGCCCTCCCTACCATCTTGAATTAATCTTGTATGGTTTCAGGTTTCTCAGGTGACTGAGGATGTTGCCATGGCTGTCTTGGAATGTTATCCTACTCTCTACTCTCTTGCTCATGCGTATGCTGCTTTAGTGAGTAGTTTTCCTTTGTCGTTGGTTTCTGTTAATTATGATCCATATTCGATTATGTTGTGCATGATATGTTCTAGTCGAAAGACTCGAAACCATAAACATATTCAATTGCATACATGTGAGTATATTGTCATTATCACTTAACACTGATTTATGATACGCCTGATAGCTGCATTTCTTTAATTTATGATTGGTGATTAAGGCTAACACTTGTTCATGGATTACTTTCGCCTTTCTCTGTTCTGCAAGGATAAGGATACTCTTGCTCAGCAGGAGTTGCTGATGAAGAAAAGTGAGGGTGCAGTCAATGCTGTTGCTAGTAGAAATATCTACCGCTTTGTATGGGCAGATTAGTTGGAACCTCCTTCTGATGCAAACAATTGCCAGGACAGTTCAAGCTATGTATGATATCTGTTGTAGCTTAATGGCCAGAGAAGGTTGTCAAGTAGTACTTATTCCATTTCTAATATTACTGCCTCCACACTCGCTTAGGTATGATGAATGGAAGTTCTATTATTGTATGCTTCCATCTCTTATAGTACTAACTAATTTGTGTTTAGGAAGGGTAGACCTAGAATGTCTGAATTAGCTAGCCTAACTTGGTTAATTTGTGATTAAAATTACTCATAATTTTTAGGGTATGTCTTACTCGCCTTAAAGAAATACTCACTTCATCTATAACTCTTAAAAGCCAAAATGGTGAAAAATGGGTACCTCATGCCAAGTCTCTTATGAACAGTGTTATGCCCTTTTTACCCTCAAAAAGTTAATTTACCATTTTGTCCTTTGTTGTAGGTTCCACTTGCGATGTTGCTTTTGGGGGAAACCACGTGCTCAAGCCTCTTCTCTGCTGGACACCTCAGTGTTGCATGTTCTTTTTGATCAAACGTTAATTGCTGAGCAAACTGCAAATTGTGTTGCTTTTTAGTTGCTCAACTCAGATTAATCACTACCAAATTCATTGCATTCTTTGTAGCTCTAATCATAGCCACATATACTAAGTGTTAATCTTTGGAGTGCTTACTATCGATTTCATTGTATTATTAGTTACTCTTATTTTAGGTTTATGTTTTAGTGTTCATCTTATCTTAGGATTATTTGTAATTTTGAATTACTTTGTACAGATTCTTAGCTCAATACAGCTGCAATTTCATTTTCTATACTCTCATAGCTTATTATTGTGAATTACTTTTGGGTTTGTTATATATATATATATATATATATATATATATATATATATATATATATATATATATATATATATATATATATATATATATATATATATTAGTCAAAGAGATAATTTCTCATAATTATCTTCCTAGTTTATGGCCTCTGTTATACGTATATTGTGTAGTTTGTTCCTAGTTTGTAGCCTAGGATAATGCATAGTCTTTGTATATATATTCTGTGAAAAGCAATGAGAAAGCTAAGGAAAATATTCCCTCAGTATGTTGTACTTGATAATTTTTTAATTTTTTAATTAGGGAAATTACCAATTGCATATGCTACTCAGAGGCCGGATATAAAGCAATTTGCCAAGAACATACTCAAGGTCGTCTCTGCTGAGGAACAGGAGTCTGTAAGAGGGGTTGGCACCCTCAATTTTGATGCCATATTGGCTCTACTTACTGAGGTAACCTGGTTTTACGTTAGAAATTTTTTCCAACTCTTCTAATGCCGACTGTTTATTAATAATTTAATTTGTCGGATGCAGGCCATGCTGCGAGTGAATGGGATCAAGAAGCCCTTCTCAGACAAGCAGAAAGAGGTAAAGGCTGCCAATGATTTGGGCCGTCTCTTCTCTTAACCGGGCAATGTATGACATATGTAAAAATGAAGCATCGACTCATGACATCCTCCATTCATAGGTGGAGGCCAACCTGCAGGTCAAGCAAAATTAGAGGCGGCCCAGAAGAGGGTAACTGAGCTAGAGACCCAACTGAAGTCAGCCAAGTCCGAGCTTGAGACGCTTGTAGATGCTGGCAGGGAGACCGACAGCCTTCGTCGTTAAAATGAGAGCCTGAAGAGGAAACTGTCCAACCAGGAGGAGTAGCTAAGGAAAAAGTACGTGACCAGGGTCGAGGAAGAAAAGAGACAATTTATCTCTGGCAATGAGGCCGACTGTGTCACTCGGATGAAGATGGCGCGGAAGGTTTTGTATCCTCAGGACGACTACTCTGTTTGGGAATATCGCTTTGACGAGGCCACCGATGCGTTAAATAAATAGTGATTGCAGTAGGAAATGGAGGATGCGTCCGGGGATGAGGATGCGGGTGAGAGAATGAGGGGCTCGAGCATCATGAGAAGCATCCGACTAATGCAAATGGACAACCAGATGGTAATTAAAAAGAGCCCTCCCCTCAAGCAGAATAAGCTTGTATTGATGTGCCTGCGTGCCGAGTATTGATGTATCTTTACCGACTGTAGAGTCGGGTTTTATCAACAATTTTCTCTTCACCGATTGTAATATCAGTTAACACTTTCTTTTAACCGACCATGAGGTCGGTTTTTTAATATGAATATGAATCAGCCGGCCATTAGGTCAGTTTTATTTCTGCCTCTATTTTTGGTTCTTGAATTTTTCTATGCGTGAATTTTACTAAGTACGTAGCCTTTTTGTTCTATACATGCGGTTTTCTCATTATATTGGATATTCTTATTTATACATGCGGTTTTCTCATTATACCGGATAATCTTGCCCCTGGACGGCTGTGTGCTTGGTTTCAAAAAGTGGGTTGATTGACTTACAAATTTTTGATACTTGAAAGAGTATGACTGATTTCTAAGTCAATCAATCACTATGGTGATTTCCCCAAACCAAGCGATCAGTCGTCCATCGAGCAGACGGGTAAGCTTTTAGTAGTAGACGACCATTGGCAATATTCAGTCAACGTGGAAGAATGGTGTTTAGATGATTAGTTTTGGACTTAGCTTTTAATTCCAATTAGGGCTGGCTTTGCTTCGATTGAGCAGACGAGCTATCCCATAGGGGAGTCTGTTTTTTGTGCCGTTTGTGTTACCTCAGAGCAATAGTAGGCGCCTGATAGTGTTATTATCAATTTGATAATATTTTGATCTAAGGTGGAATAATGGCTGGATACCGCCTGTAAGCCTGTTATCGCATGGGACATGCGGTTATTTGAGCCGTTTAGGTTCCATATTAGATTCTTTAAGGCAAACAACTACGACTAAGGCCTAAATGCAGTCGGTTGGGCTGTCTGTTATATGTGTTTATAGAGCAATGTACTACCCAAATGGGAGATGCTCTCTGTAAGCAAATTCACCCAGATGGGCGTCGTCGAGTGTCTTACTCTTGTCAAAGCAGACGGTTGGTTTAGATTTTGCCGCCTGTATATTGCATAGGCGGTGTTCCCATATGAGACGTATCCAGTAATGTTATGCAAAAACAAACAAATTGAAAATAAAAAGCATCTTTCATAAGCCTTTTATTTACAAAAATTTACAAGTCTCGATAGTAGTACTTTTTCAAGTTATCTACGTTCCAAGTTCTGGCTAGCTGCCTACCGTTTGGTGTCTCTAGACGGTAGGTGCCGCCTCTTACTTCCTCATAGATCAGGTAGGGACCTTCCCAATTGGGTTCAACTTGCCTTGCTCATTGGCCTTACCCGTTGCCATTATCTTGCGTAGCACAAAGTCCCCCATTTTCAAGGGTCGTTTGTGTACTCTCTTGTTGTAGGCTATTGTCATTCTCAGACGGTAAATCTCATGGCGCAAGGCGATATTGCCCCGACGTTCTAGGAAAGAGTCTAATGCTAGCCGCATGGCTTCCCAGTTAGCCTCTTCATCATACATCATGACTCGAAGAGTCGGCTCATAAAGTTCAATAGGTAAAATGGCTTCAGCGCCATACACCATGAGGAATGGGGTTTCGCCGGTTGCCCCTTTTGCTGTTGTTCTGATGGCCCATAGAACATGAGTTAGCTCTTCAGCCCATAGGTCGTCGGCTCTTTCAATTTTCTTCTTAATGCCGTATGAGATTAGCTTGTTGAAGGCATCAACCTAGCCGTTTTGTTATGGTCGACCGACTAATGCAAAGCAGTGAGAGATCCCTTGGTCTCCCAGCCAATTCTTGAGGGTAGACGTCTCAAATTGAGGGCCGTTATCAAAGACCATAGACATGGTACCTCGTAGCGGGTGATAATGTTCTTCCAGATAAAAGAGATGACATCCTTTGTCTTGATGACTTTGACAGCCTCGACCTCCACCCACTTAGTGAAGTAGTCAACAACAACTAGAATATATCGCTGTTCACCTAGAGCAGGTGTATACGATCCTAAGATATTCATGCCCCATTTGGCGAATAGTATTGGGTTATGAATTTCCGTTAGATCAATGGCCGAACAGTGGATAAGCTTGCCAAATCTTTGGCACTTATCAAACTTTTTCACCATTTCCATGGCGTCTGCTTCTAGAGTCGGCCAAAAATATCCTTGTCGCCTGGCTCTTTCTGCTAGAGATCTATCGCCTATGTGTGAGGCGCAAAAGTCCGAGTGTAAATCTTCCAGAATCTCATGCCCCCCTTCTGGGGTGATATAATTCAAAAGAGGAAACATAAAGCCATTTTTGAAGAGTTCTCCATTGCGAATCTCAAAGTTGGTCGTACGATTTTCATTGCAACCAATTCTGAATATGTATTCGGTAGAGTGTCACCTAGCAAATAGGCTCGGATGTCGTCCATCCAGGTTAAACTTCGATCAAGTACTCCAATGGGATCTTCTACAATACTTCTTTTTTCCATTGCCTCCCAAAAGACTGACCGCGGTGTATCACAGGAGGCGGATGATGCCAATTTTGACAGAGCATCCGCCTGATTGTTTTCTGACTTAGGCACTTAACTTAGGTGGAATTCATCAAGTGACCCAGCCTCTGTTCTGACTGCCTGTAAGTATTTGACCATAGACGGATGGGTGGCTTCATAGTCACCATGGTATTGGCTAACGACCGACTATGAATTAGAGCACGCGTCAAATTTCTATGGCCCTGATTCCTTACACATGCGTATATCGGCTAGTAGGGCTTCATACTCTATCTCGTTATTTGAGGCTTGAAACTTGAATCGTAGTGCGTATTCATATTTGTCCCCTTCAGGAGATTGGCATATAATACCTACACCACCACCGTTCATAGTAGAGCTCCCGTCTACGTACACTTTCCAAACCTGATTAAGATTTTCCGGTTCAACCGGTCTTGTCATTTCAACAATGAAGTCGGCGAACGCTTGACCCTTCACTGTCTTACACTGCCTTCCTTGGTTCAAAAGTGATTTCAAGACTCTGCATTTCATTATCCCATTTGAGCATTCGATCGGATGATTCTGAGGTTGTCATTGGCCGCTTGAGGGGCTGATCTGTATAGACTACCTCCGGATGTGCCAAGAAGTATGGTTTCAACTTCTTGACTGCCATGAACAGGTCGAGACCAAAATTTTCAACCATAGAGTATCGGAGTTCCGCATTTCGAAGCACATGGCTAATGAAATAGACCTGGAGCTGATTCTCATATCTCTCAGCAAGGAGAACAACACTAAGAGCATGATCTGAGACGGCTAGGTACATGTAGAGCGTCTCCTTGGGCAGAGGGCTAATAAGCCTTGACAAGGAGTGCAGATGCTCTTTTAATTTTTTGAAGGCCTCAGCATCATCTGCCCATTCAAAAATGGTCCTTTTTCTAATTGGTTGGAAGAAATAGAGGCACTTGTCACCTGACCGGCTGAGGAATCTCCCTAATGCCGCCAAGCAACCGGTTAACTTCTGAACTTCCCCAATAGTGCGAGGTGACTTCATGTCAATGACCGCCTGTATCTTCTCAGGGGTTGCCTCTATCCCTCTTTGATCAATAAAAAACCTGAGAAATTTTCCAGACTCAATACCTAAGACACACTAATTAGGATTGAGCATGACCTTGTGCCGCCTGAGTGTGGTGAAGGTTTCTCGGAGGTCAGCAAGATGATCCGTTTGTAGCTTGAATTTGACTATCATATCATCAATGTATGCCTCTACGTTTCTTCCGATTTGATTAATGAAGATCGTATTAATCATTCGTTGGAAAGTAATAGGCGCATTCTTCAAACCTAACGGCATCACAGTATAAAAGAATAACCCCTGATCAGTGACGAATGTTGTCTTCTCTTGATCTTTCTTCCAAAGGGGGTATCTGATGAAAGCCTGAGTAGGCATCCATAAAACTCACCAGGGTATGTCCGGCTGTAGAGTCGACCATACTATATGGAAGTGGATAATTGTCCTTCGAACATGCCTTGTTCAGATAAGTATAATCAACACACATGCGCTAGGTTCCATTCGGCTTCTTTACAAGAACAACATTCGCAACCTAATATGGGAAGTGACATTGCCGAATGAACCTAGCGTCTAGCAACTTCTTAACCTCGGCAGCTGTCGCCTGAGATCTTTCCTCACCATAATTTCTTTTCTTGCCTAACAGGCTTCTTCTTTGGATCCACGACGAGTTTGTGGACAGTAAGATCCGGGCTTATGCCAGACATCTCTTCCACTTCAAAGGCAAATATATCTTTGAGTTTCTTCAAGAGGTTATGCAAGTCTGCCCCCAATTTCGCAAAGACAATCGCCCCCACCTTAACGTTTCATTCTAGACGCGTGTCTTCAAGAGAGATGTCAATGTGCTCACTAGCCGACTTGGGACGGAGTTCATCTGACTGTTCCCCGGTCAGTGATTGTTATTTTTTCTCTTTCTTGATAGTGACCAGCTGGTCGGCCTTTTTCTTCTTGCCGCCTGCTGGTGGGGCAGACTCTGGTTTCTTGACATCATCAAGGTCTATTGGCTCAACGTCCCGGCCGACTGCTGTAGGCTTGACGTCTGAGAGATAGCAAACCTGAGCCGTCTTCTAATCTCCATTCAAGGAGCCAACAGAACCATCATATTTCTCAAATTTCAGCAGCATGAGAGATGAGATAATGACGTCCTTGAATTCGTTCAGAGTCGGGCGATCAATTATGAGGTTGTAGGCGTTCAGCTCTTTTACGACCAAGAACCGGACAACCATAGTGCGCCCTTGCCCCCTCTCCCCCAACCAGATGGGTAGATCAATCCGGCCAAGTGGGTGTACAACTCCACCCCCAAAACCAACCAAGGGGTGAGTGACCTTGTGCATGCTGCCTAGCTTGTACTTTAGCTTGGATAGACAATGCCAGCTGATAATGTTAGACGAACTACCAGTATCAATAAGAATTCGACCAACCTTTTAAATTTAATGACAATGGGGTCGTCTTGCGGCCGACGAACTTTGCCCCGGTCCTTTTCAGAGATGACGCCCTTATTAGGAAAGGTATCGGCAGACGTTTGGCCTTCATCGATCGAGCTGATATCGATCTGTCTGACATGGTCCTTGGTGCCTTTGATAGTTGGGCCCTCACAGGCAAAGCCGCATGCAATAGTGCAGATCATGTCCACATCAGTGTCTGAACCACTATCAGCCTTTGCTGACTTTTTTGACGGCTGCCTGAGGTCGGTCTTCAAGGTCACCTTGGACTTGAGGATGTAAGACTTCAGCAC